GGCCAGCCTGGAGAGGGTTCAGAGGAGGGCCGCCCGCTTGGTGAGAGGGCAGCAGGACGGGCCCTACAAGGAGAGACTGAGGGACCTGAACCTGTTCAGCCTCGGCAAGAGGAGGCTGAGGGGGGACCTGGTGGCTGCCTACAAGCTCATCAGGGGAGATCATCAGCAAATGGGAAGAGCCCTTTTCTCCCCAGCACCACCTGGGGTAATGAGGAACAGTGGTCATAAGCTGATGGAGAATAGGTTTAGGTTAGAGATCAGAAGGCAATATTTTACAGTTAGGGTGACCAAAATCTGGAACCAACTTCCCAGGGAAGTGGTCCTCGCCCCTACCTTGGGCAAATTCAAGAGGAGGTTGGATGATCACCTGTCTGGGGTCTTGTGAACCCAGCATTCATTGCTGCCTGTGGCAGGGGGGTCAGGCTAGATGATCTGTTCAGGTTCCTCCTGACCCTAGCTACTATGAAACTAGTCTTGATATTATCAGATACCTAAGAACATAAATGCTGTATTTAGTTCAGTGGTCTGGCTGGCTGTACTCCCCCACCTTATTTTCTGCATATTGCCTACTCTCACCATGTCCCGGTATCTTATGGTCAACCTGCTCCTGGGCCTGACCATGCTGTCCCTCTACCCGGGAAGGATGAAGGCTCTGTGGGGGAACCCAGTCAACCCTGGGGCTGTCTTCCTTTCACTCATCAGTGCATGTCTCTGGGCACTTTCACTAGGTGGGATCCACAGGTTCCTTATATTTGTTCAAGGAGCAGTGGGTGCTAGCTGGTATTCTCTACTTGGTGTCCTCTCTTGGCACCCTAATTATTAACCTTTGACCTGCAGTCCCATTTCTGTTTTATCACCCTCTGGCATGGAGTAGTTGTATATGCATTGGCTTCCTTCCCAGCCATTGGTGGGGGTTTGGTGGGCCCATGCCCATGGGCTGTATGCAGTTATTTAGACTTCTTTCTCCAAGTGGATGCTAAGGGGAAGAGCATTTAAGCAGGGAAAGTCCAGATTGATCTTTCCCCCAATGCCTCTCCACCTTCAGCTTCCTATACATGCTTCCTCATTAGTGAAAATAAATGAAAATAAAACTGCTTTCTCTTTCCCATTAGGAAAGGTGGCCTGTTAACTGCGCATTTGTACAAGCTGTAGTTACATTTTTACAAACCCATTTCTCCTCTTTCCAGAAGAGCAGGTCCCGTGATCCACGGCATTCGTTCTGCCAGCAATACCCATTCAAACAAAGAAGAAAAACTTTATTTACCGAATAGGTGATAAAGCAGTTGTTTTGGCTCATAATGATCCCTGGAATGAAGCTGTGACTGCAGCGGGGGGCTCCTGGTCTTCGGAGTTGCTTGGCTTGGTTTCTTCCTTTGGACATGGATCCTTTCAAGACAATGGTTAGTAGGAAATAAATGGAACTGGTGTGGGTATGGCACTAGCAGGAACATTTTTCTTTTTATTGAGCTTTTCTTCAATACTGGACTGGAAAGGCCCTCCTGGGTCACTGACTTCAGCTCCTGGTTATTGCCAGCAACCAGGTTAGGTATCATTTCTACGAACTGATCAAGCTGGTAAAAGAACTTTGGCTTCTAAATATGCCGATAGCAACACCTTGTGGGAGGAACTGGTACTGTATTCATTGCATTTTCCCACTGCTAACATTTAGTGCATGGAGGGGACCCCATTCCCCAGCTGCTGCTGCTGATCGATCACAGCATGCTTCTGGAACGAAGGGTCAGGCAAGCTGGGCTCAAAGCAGACCTTTGAGTGTAATGTAAAATAAGAACTTCATTTCTGTAACACCTGATAGCAGCACTGCATCGCAACTTGCAGAGTCTGGATACTCTGAAGAAAATAAGGGAAACTCAATAGGATCAATTAAAAAGGTTGACATTTAGTTTTTAGAAGCACAAGGAATTGGGTGGCCTCAAAGAAATTTTAATATATTGAATTGGACTGTGATTACTAATCTTGAAATGGCTGAAAATATCAGAGAAGGTCGTTCTACTTCTCATGTCATTTTTAAGGGGATGCAATAGTTTGGGTCTCATTCACTGCAGAGGAAGCTTACTTGTCAAAAGATTCAGAGGAAGATGGACCTGAACCATTCCTATTGTCTCCGTTTTTCTAGGAGTTTGATTTTACCAGAATTGAAGTCTAGCACAAATGCGGGATTGTATCTTTAAGTTCACAGCAACCTGCCATTAACTCAATAGAAACAAGCAGCTGCTCCCACGGGTGATTCCAAATTGACTAGAGGGAGAACTTGCTGTTCAAAGTGGAAAGAGAGCAAATGCAAGTCTGAGGAGGTCTGTTCTCCAGACTCCTCGGGATAGTGGCAGCAGTCATTTCAAAGTAATAATTCTAGCACTTCTCCTTCGGTATCTCCATACTTTCATATTAAACAGGGGGAAATTCCCCAGGAGGAAATCGTCTGCTACACTTGGATGGAAATACTGAATTTTTCTCTGGGACCATGCTGTCTCTAAGATGTGAACTGCTTGATTTACCTGGGGATGGTTTTTTTTTTCTCCTTACTAATGCAGACATCTGTGAAGAGACCAAGCAGATCACACTTAGGAGAAGGAGACGCATGACAACATATGGAAAGACTTACTTCTCCATCACCAAATTTTCTGGAAAAGGATCCTATTGGTATTATCAGTTTTGGACACAAGTCCTTGAACCAGCTGCTGATATGGAAGATGGTGTGACTCTTTGCCTGAGTCCCTGTCAAAAGTTTCTTACTTCTTGGACAAGAGACTTTCAAGGGAAAATGCCACTTCTATAAGAACCACGGTTGGTCTTTTGCTAGGTAGCACTTTCTCTTTTGAACTAAATAAATACTTTGGAATGGGGTTGGAGAAGTGGCTGATGTGTGCTGTCTTTCAGCTGACACTTTCTATGACTTCAAGGTGAAATGATTTGATTATGGCTCAATTCAAGTACTTCCTACTTGAAATGCCTCTTGTAGTTTCAGGTAAATATGTCATTCTTAACTTCCAATCCTAAACCATCCGGGTAGTTGTGAATTGTACAATTGGTGGCATGTTCCACCTCAGAGGAGGTTGCATTTTAATGTTGAGATGTTTTCCTACAGTGTGTGACTTATAAATTACTCTGATATGAATGATACTATAGAAATGCAAGATAGAGTTAATGGACTGGGGGGAGGGGGAGTATAGTTAGATTTTTTTTTCTTTATTTGATTCCTAGTCCAGGCTGTAAGAAGGGGTTTGATTGTGTGATTGTTTTCAGTGCACTAGTTGTTGCACTCATCACATGGAGATTTGTTTGCTGGGTGCGATGTCTTTTAAAAACACAGAAGTCTTGTTTTCAAAAGTACCCCAAGCACCTTGGGGCATAAATGCCAAGTCACCCTCTAAAATGGGACTTTAGATTCCTAAGTCACTTTTGCTTTTGAAAATTTCCTTAAGATTATACCCTTTGGTGATGTACAGCTATTTGACTCATTTTAAGTAAAATGCTTTGTAGCCTTTTATTTTCTCCCAGCTGCAGGGTGTCCTGGTGTCTCAGGACACTGCAAACAAGGCAGTGACTCTTACGAATCCCCAAAGAAAACTTTACCTTCTTCCACGGTGCATAAACTATTTGGTCTTCACTGAGGCCCAGACATTCAGCATGGTTCCTGAGTTCATTCAAGTGAACTTTACTTGGGGGTTGCTTCCGGGCTGTTTAGAAAGAGAGAAACCATAGCTTAAGTACTTGAGAATCACTGAGCAGGACCTGGATGTATATCTCCTCATCATACATAGGCGTATAATTATGATGTCTCATTTCCTGTTCCCATTCTCACGTCTTGATTCCCTTTCTCTCTTGACACTCTTAATTCTTTATCTCCATTCATGTCATTCTACCTGTGCTGTATATGAGATATAAGCATATACCCTGTGGGAGACTAATATGCCTGTGAGGAGTTTGGGGTATTCCCTTCTGACGGCCGGTTTATGCAGTATGCTGTCACCTTCCAGCCCTGGAAGCTAATGGAGGTTCTGCTTTGCTCAGGTGGTAGAAAAGCAGAGCTGTAGTGCTGAGCATCTTAGGCTCAAACCACAGTGTCTCTCAGACCTACTTTATCTTAGTTATTCTATCCTCTTGGCTTCAGTAGGGCCAGCCCTGCTGAGAAGGGGATGTGCTGCCTTCGGGGAACACAGGTGGTTTCATTGTGTTCCCAGGGAGGCAGGTGGTGGCTTACCAGCTCTCCTTGCTCCACGGCTTTTCTGAGGGGACAGGCCAACAAAGTTATTGTCTGACTTCTAATAAGCAACCTGGGCCAGTAATAATTGGCCCTGCTGCATTGCAGTCAGGTCCCGGGCAAGTTTTTCCCCTTAGCACTGCTTTCGTTCTTAAGGTGCTCCCTGCACTCCTTAGGGTGAAGGTGCAGGGATAAGGGCCTGGGTGTCCTGCTCCACCCTCACCTGTGTGGGTCTCATTGGGCCACTTCTCTGTGTCTCCAGTCAGTGTGCTTTCCCCTGCACTGCCCTGTCAGGACAGGGGGGCTGTATCATCGTGCAAGGACTGGAGAGGCTGGCTCTGCCGAACACAGCATGGGTGCCCTCTTGGCTGCTCCATCCAGGCAGCCTCAGCCCCCTGCATCCTCCCTGGCAGGAGGGGAGCCAAGCAGGGCTGGGCAGTGGGCATGCCAGCTTCTTCGGTACTCGCCCTTGCTCCTTCCCTTCTCCCCTCAAGTCAGAGCAGGCTTTTTCAACTCTTGCAATATTCAGGACTTGTGTCTTTGGAACGGGGCGATTATAAGAAGGCCCGTCATCTTTTGGTACTCTCAGGGTATTTCTGCAGGGCACCACATTGAGCTTATAGCTTTTGTATGTAGAAGTCAGGCTGTCCTAGCAAAGATGGCAGTCCAGTGGGAGGGGAGCCAAGCTGCTGTCTGAGGAGGCAGGGGAGAGACTGAGCGGTGTGTGAGGGACGTGAGCTGGGGGCAGGACAGAGGGGAAAGATGAAGGAGGTGAAGCAAATAGATTTCATAGACGTTAGAGCTGGAAGGGACCTCGTGAGATCGAGTCCAGCCCCCTGCCCAAAGGCCACGAAGTCAGCTGGGGTCAAAGGATCCCAGCAAGGTGAGCATCCAGGCATTTCTTGAACGTGTCCGGAGTAGGTGCTCTGGGGGGAGTCTATTCCAGATACTGGAGACCCAGATGGTAAAGAAGTTTTTCCTTGTGTCCAGTCTAAAATGGTCTTCCAGCAGTTTGTAACCGTTAGACCTCGTCATCAGGAACAGTCGTTCCCCCAGATCCTGATGCACACCCCTGATGTACTTATAGGCTGCCACCAAGTCCCCCGAGCCTGCGCTTCTCCAGGCTGAAGAGTCCCATGGCTCTCAGCCTCTCCGCATATGGCCTGTTCTCTTGAGCTCTGATCATGCGCGTGGCTCTCCTCTGGACTCTCTCAATCTTTTCCACGTCCTTTCTAAAGTGTGGAGCCCAGAAGTGGATGCAGTACTGCAGCTGCGGCCTCACCAAGGCTGAGTAATAATAGAAGCAAAGTAAGGACAGAAAATTGGGGGCACACAGAGGGAGAATGTAGATGGAGCAAGGGATAGCATGGCTGCTTCTCAGTCCTAACGTAGGAGAGGGTATGCGGAGTCCCCCTTTACTGAGCTTGTTGCATCTGGGTTGTGATGATGAGGGGGTCAACTTGGCAGTGCGCCTGTTGCCCTGATTTGAGTTTTTCCTGAACACTGTCAGCAGAGGCGATCCCAAAGGGCAACAGCTGCAGTTATCTGGGCTCAAAATTAGGTTCAGGCATTGCTCTCGCTTTCTGCTCCATATCCTTCCCTTGTGCTCTGGTGTTACTCCTATTATTAATGTTCCCCTGAGTAGCTATTATTAATAAAAAAGTTACTAGCTTTGAGGGTACAAGCACTAACTGTGCTTGCAAGTTCTCTACAGAACCACTGAAGGGAGAGAAAATGGAGATATTACAGGGTAGACTTCAGCCTGAAGTGGGGCTAGAGAAAATAAGGCATTCTAGAAAATTAAGCAACTACTTCTGAGCTTGAGAGAGTACTGAGAAGCTACAAGATTTTTTTTTAAACTATGCCTTGTGGAGGAACACAGTACTCTCACTAGTGACAGGGTTTTATACCATCCAGTATTGCCAACCCCAAACTATCTACAGACCAGGAGTCAAGCCCTCAAATACCTGAGAAGGGGTTAGAAAAAGCTATAAAAGATTTAGGAAAACATCAAATGTGAGGTTATTGCGTGCCTTCTACCTTTTGAAAACTTAATTCTCAAAATTTCCTTTGCCATCGTGATGGTTAGCAATTGACTTTTTATTTTATTTTTTTAATTAAAGGTGACATTCTCACATATTCATGCAACTGCTGGAAAAGCACCAGGTATTGCAAGAGTTAACAACACTAAAGTTCTGCCCCATAATTTCATTTGGCAAGTAATATGTGAGAAACTTCACACCACCAGAGTACAACTTCAAGGCATTTTGTTATGGGGTTTGCTTACCGTATAGATACAATCCTGTGTAGTTCTTCTCCTTTTGCATTTCAATTTGAATTAGTAAGATGTCTTCAGAACTGCTGTTCATAAGCTTCCCCACGGTATGTCGGTTCTGGACTTCAAGGGAACAGAATCAGAGGTTGGGGGAAATTAGGATATTAATTCAGCTCAGCTTTCTATATAGAAGGACTCTGTAAAACCTCTAGGGATTAATGTGGAACAGTCTTACCGCTCGCTGAATAACTATAACTCCTTCAGTAGGTCCCAGTACAACTCCTTGCCATTGATTTCAGTGTAAGCTGCAGTGGGTCCTTAGTTTATCAAGCTTTGTTTAGACAGAGGCCTGGGATTTTAAGGAGCTAAAGGTGCCTAGTTCTAGTCTTTAGGAAAATATTTGCAGCTGGCTTTAAGAGTCCCTGATACATGCATCCACAATTGGTTGTATGTTGATTCCTACCGGTATTCTCTCAAGTGATCTGCTCTGAAATTCTGCCTTTTGGACTCCTATTTGAAATCTCTGGGTTTATCTTGTGAATCATGTTTACGCACCTAACAGTGCTAAATTCTGTGGCACCCTGCATCACCCTTGAAAGGATCTCAAGGCACCCCAGGGTGCTGTAGCACCCCGCTTGAGAATCACTGGGCTAGATTCATAAAGATACTTAGGCTTCATAGACTTTACCGTGCTGAGCATTAACTCAGTAGATGTCTATGTTGTGTCTTGAGGTGACTCTGGCAATGAAGGTAATAAAAGCATTGTTTTCCTTTTCTTTGTGGTGGATCCCTCTTCGCTTCTTCACTGCATGGCTCTGTCTTGTGCTTGGAAAGGACTTTTATTTTTTCAGGGGTTTTATGAAAAGGGAGGACTTTCTGCACCAGCCCATCTGGCCGGACACGACATGGGTTCATTCCTGGCCAGAAAATGATGCAACACTCACCAATGTAGTGACACACTTAGTTCTCCAATGATTAGGAAACAAATTCTGGAGTAAGGTTTTTAAATATCTTGCTGGAACATGTTTTATGTAGTTTTAAAATCTGCCTTTGAAGGAGAAGAAAAACTATTTAAAATGACTGTCTTTTTCTGAGCGAGGGTGAGCAGGATGGTGGTTGGTTTCTCTCAAGCTGTGTTTCCATGGACAGATTCGTGATCTGTCATGATTGTTTTATGGACCAACAACCGCTTAAATGTCTGCACGAAATTGTCCCATTGAGGAAGGGATCATTTCAACCCACCTGTTAAATTTTAAATGGGTTGGTTTCTGTACTCCTCCCTGAACAAACTGTGGAATGGGAAATAAATCTTATCAGAAGTAAAAATCTGTATAATACCACCCCTCCCATACACACACTTGCCTTTCCCTTCCCTCCCAAATGTTCATTATGCCTCTGCATTTTTTGCTGCTCTCTTGGCACTGGATTCTTACCATTCTTGATTAGTGTTACATGATCAACAGTGACTTCAAAATAAGTTGAATTGCTTGTGAGACATTCATCCATTCTAAAGAAAAAGAGAGAGAAAATGTACATGTGGTATAACTGGTGTGTGTGTATGTAAAGATGCTCTTGTCTGAAAAAACCCTTGGAGAGCATAGATTTTAAGTTTAGAAGGAATCACCAGATTATCTAATCACACCTCTGTCATTAGTACAAGTTGTGGAATTGCATCTACTTGCACCCATGAGCTAAGTACAGTAAAAAAGCCTAAGGCTGAATCGATTCAGTCTTTTCCAGGTTAGTTTAAGGTGCAGAGATTAAACTGAGGAACAACTGAACACACATTTACTTTTGATTCAGGCAATGCAGCTAGATGTCTGCAGTGGCTCAGGCCAGAAGCCGGGGGGCGCTACAGCACGGCTCTTTGGCACAGCCAGCATGTGTGTTCACTTCCTCTTCCTGCTGCCCCTGAGGTCTCTGGGATTTGCAGTCCAGACTCACAGCAGGACCCTTCCTGCTTCCAGGTGCTTCTGGGGTTTGTAGTCTACAGTTGCAGCCAGCAGTAAATTTGAGTGGGGGAAGGAGTGTTTAACCCTCCCCTCCCTGGCCCCAGACCCTATCTGGGGTTCACTGCCAAGGCCACAACAGAGGCTAGAAAAGTTGAGGCAAAGATGTGATGTTGATACTGACTTCTGGCATGATGAGAGCAGATTCAGCCGCACATGAACAAGCGAAGGGGCGGGAAGCCTTTTAGAACCTGTCCCTCCTCTGTCTACTGAGATTATGCCAATTAAACTTTATGTTGAGAAGTTTGTGGAGAAAGGGGGGTAATAAGATGTAAAAATGGCATTGTTTGGAAAGCTGAATCCTAGGGCTTAATGATCACCTGCTAAGGTGGGGTGGGACGGGATAATGAGGAATGAATGATCTTACGCTGAGACATGCTGGCTGATGAATAACTCCTGCCCCTGCTCATTTGGGTCCACCTGGAGGTAACCATTATCAATCAGTGTCATCTCCAGCCAGTGACGGGGGAACTGGGAGGCCCCAGCCACGTAGAACCATTTCCCCAACAGCTGCAAAAATAAAAGGATGGGTAAGGAGAGACTCAAGGATTCATTTCTGGTCCTCCAAAGTGGGGAAAAAAGAAATGATTTTCCCTCTACTCTTAGGGTAAGCAGATCTCTGCCCCTGCCAAGTTCTCTCACTGACAAATTGGTAAAAAATATATATGGACTATTTTCTCTTTTTCTACCAGCTCTTCTAACAACTAATATTTTGTACTTATATGTTGACTTAATATGCTATTTAATAGGATTTTGGGGCAAAAGTAGTGAAAAGGTCAGGCAAGAAAGTACTTGAGTTTTAGTAATGATAATATTTGGTAAGGTAGGTAAGAAAATATTTCACACATCTTATGGATGAAGACAACTGAGGCACAGAAGGTATACAGATAACTTGCTGCAGAAGCAGGAGAACTTGGGTGTCCTGGGATCCTAATTCTGCATGTTAATATACTGTCTAGGACTGTAGGTTTGAGAAGTGCCTCTTATAATGTAAATTGTATTTGCTGTACATAAGAGTCAAACGTTTTAATGAACTTCCCTCACTCGATAGTTTCTGTCTGGTCTCTATATACATTAGGAATGCAAGTATCTGGAAAAGCAAGACTCTCACAGGGTTTTTCTTACCTTGGAGCCTGTAGTGTTGTCTGGGATTTGTGGAACTTGGAAATCACAATGCAGGGGGTTAGCACGGAGGAGAGGCAATAAATTGAGCACAGCTACAATGCAGCCCAGTACCATGGCTTCTCTTGAAGACGGGTGAGAGGATGCAGGTTGAAACCCTCCAACTGAATCCTCTCAGCCTGGCTCCAGGATTTGTATTTATAAATGTTAATTTTTGCACAGCTGAGGTTGCTGATCAGCTGTCTTGTTGTGTTGGGGCAAATCTGGGTACATGGGTCAGGAACAGTGTGTTTAGGCATGAAGCAATGCTGCCCCTTTCTGGGAAATCTCTCAGATAAGTGGTGGTGCCAGCACTAAATTCCATTTTTTTATTTGACCTGAACACTGTTTTTGAGCTAGTGCATGTCCTGCAGTACTTTAAAGTGGCTCTGTGTTTGTCTAAGGATGTGTACATTATGTCCCCAGACAAGTGGGCCTCATTGTATCTGTATAGGGGCCCTAATAGGTATTGAACTGCAGTGCTGTGTTTTTGCCTTCACAAAGAGGTGACTGGGATTTTCTCCAAAGCCCTGAAGGGCAGTGAACTCAACCCTGTTTTCATTTTCTATCCCCTCCAATACTACTTCCCCGGTTTTCTTTTTCCTGTAGCTTGCCTGTCCCTACAGTTCTTCCTCACACTGCTAGTGGTTTTCAGTGGGAGTTAGACATGCACATGCACGTGTGCCACAGACCTTCAGATTCCCACTCAACCAGTTCAAAGCTGCCTTACTTAAATCTGTTAAAGTGACTGATGCTCTCATGCAGTGGTTCCCACCCCTTGTTAGATGCAAAGCACTCTTGGAAAATGCCAGCCCTTGGTTTTCACTCCACTTTTGATTACAGGGAAATAGCTGAGCAATTCTTCCATTGCAAAGAGCTTAGAAAGATCATAGCAGGGCAGAACGTTTCTTTGCAGAAGCTGAGTAGCAGGAGTTAGGGAGCTGAGGCTGCCTCCAGCCACGTTCCAGACAGGGCCCACAGGCCAGCCCACCACACCTTCAACCTGGCATGCTGGGTATTGGGCCATGTACTGGGTCTGATCTAGTGCCAGCTCTGGAGCCATGTGCCTGGGTCTAGCCTGACGTGCTGAATTTGACCCTGCGCACCAAGTTCAATTCAAACACCAGGTCTGGGGCCACATGCTGGGTCTGATGCTGTGCTGGCTCCTGAGCCATATACTGGGTCTGGCCTTATGTGTCAGCCCAATCTGGTGCACAGGGCCATGTCATACAGTTAAGGGGCTTCCCACTATTAAGTCATGAAATGGGATTCAGGACTAGTGTATAAAAGATTGACACGACAACTCATTCAATGAATGACAGAAAGGCTTTATTTACTACAAGTATTCACTGTTAAATGAGCCTAAAACCATGCAAAGTCCAGTATATCAGTTGATTATAAGGGGTAAAGAGGCTCTTGCTCACAACGCAGACTCGCAAGACACCAGGACGTCAGGGGCCTCGTCCATATATTGTGCCCCTCTGACAGTCGTCCTGTTCACATTCTGTCCTTCAGCATATTCCTTGGTTTTACAAGCCCATTACACGCGTACATCCTAATATGGGCTTTTCTGATCTTCTAGTTTGGTCTGTTCCCCAAAATCAGCTGCACTTGGGCACTGTGAGCTGGAGCCACCTTATCTCATGTTATGCAACACTGTGGTACATGCATACAATTTCCCAGCGCTGCTAACACTGCTAGATGCTAACACGCTAATTCATTGCCATGTACTTCAAAGCTATTCATAGATTCATAGATGCTAGGGTTGGAAGGGACCTCAATAGATCATCGAGTCTGACCCCCTGCATAGGCAGGAAAAAGTGCTGGGTCTAGATGACCCCAGCTAGATGCTTATCTAACTTCCTCTTGAAGACCCCCAGGGTAGGGGAGAGCACCACCTCCCTTGGGAGCCCGTTCCAGACCTTGGCCACTCGAACTGTGAAGAAGTTCTTCCTAATGTCCAATCTAAATCTGCTCTCTGCTAGCTTGTGGCCATTCTTTCTTGTAACCCCCAGGTGCACCTTGGTGAATAAACCCTCCCCAATCCCCTTCTGTCCCCCCGTGATGAACTTACAGGCAGCCACAAGGTCGCCTCTCAACCTTCTCTTGCAGAGGAGGCTGAAAAGGTCCAGTTTCTCTAGTCTCTGCTGCTAGTCAGATGTGCTGATGTGTTCTCTAGTCTATGTGCTGCTACCACCTAGCATCAAACAGGTAGCCTCAAAACATCTTTGGAGCTGCCTTTCAAAAGCCGGATGGTGAAATTTGTATCATGACCTTGAAGAAAACAGATGCTTGTGTAGGGTGTAGTTAGAGTATTTTCTCCAACTCCCTGGAGCTGGGCTTTTTTGCTCATAGTTTGCAAATGGGGCTGCTGTGTTTAGGTGAAGCAGGCTCAGCCTATGTGGGCCTTGGAACCAATGTGTAAATACGTCTGGACAGACCCTATGTGGCGGCATTGACTTTATTCACTGTAGCAGACATGGTCTACTAGAAACAAGTGTTAACTAGCAGCATGATGCTCCAGGTGTAGCAGTTCTGAGATTCTGTGGAATAGAGGATTCTTTTCTCCAGGCCACTATTCTCAGCATGGGAATGTAGACCAGCTATAAACTTTGTAATGACTGCATTCAAAGAACCTCCCCAAAGGGAAGGGGAATTATTTTCTGTTAAGATGGAAATCTAATGTTTGGGTTCAGATGAGTCATCAGCCCCTTCTGTTTCACTAAAAAAATGCATTATGAAAATGAGGAAGCGAAGGGACTGGTAAAAGGTTAGCAGGTGCATCTTTCTACCCCTCTACCCAAACTCAGTCCATCCTGGGGGATGACCATGTACCCTTTGTTTTCTTTCCTAGCTTTCTTGAATTCTTACCATGCACGGTCAGAGTAGAATTACCCCTGTTGATTGTGACGTAGCTGGTATTAGTCAAAATACAACTCTGGTTCCTACGTGGGGAAGGAGTGAGCAGAGGAGTGAGCACAGCTGTTTCGGTACAGTGGCTCATAGGAAATGTGAACTAACTTGCTGCATCAAGGGTCCTTCTGAATGCGTATTATACTAACATGCCAGCCTGCTACAAGTCAAGTGGGTTTACAGGATGTCTGGCACTGCACTTCTATTCTAGGGCAGTGCTAGTGCCTGCTGTCTTTCTGGGGGAATTTGATGAAGCATTGACATCTACAGAGAGTGCAGGTCCCTCTCCAGACACAACACCTTCAGTTCAGACTAAAGATGCTCTATACATTTCTCTTAGATTGGGGTCTATCCTGAATGAAAAGGAGTAGTAGAAAAAGATGGAGGCATCAACTGCATCTCTTGGCAGTGGTAAGAATGAGATAAGTGTGGAACATCCACACAGCCTGAATGTGGCAGCGGAGCATCAGGCAAGCGAGGGCTATTCTGCAAGAGAGATCTGCCATTCAGTTGCTTTAATGATAATCTCTTGTAACCTGTTTTTTGTTTTTTTTTTTTTAAAGGAAAAATGTTAGCATCAATGGGCCAGAATTCAATGCCCTTACATTTTTGTGTAGTCTTTGAAGTAGAGCTCATCTTCACGTGTCCCACAGTAGAAAAAAAAAAGGAATTCTCTATTTTCTTTATACATTTCATGTACTGTGTATATGAGGAGGCACTTGCAACCTGGAACCATCTCCCCGCAAGCTGTGAAAATGAGGAAGGTAGAAAAAGCCATAAGCTTAGGAGATTTATTCATACAAGTCTTCACCTCTGTGATGTGTACATGTTGTTTATTTGCATTGTGTTGATGTGTGAAGATGCCAATGGACCTTTCCTCCAGGTCCATACTGGGTATAAAGCAGTTTCAAGTTGGACAAGAGTCCTTCTTTCAACCATGCTTTTTCAACACTGGATGCTATTAGTCTTGGCTAGCACCCAGAATTAAAGCTTCCCTTGAAAGTGGATCAGTACATTGTTTTGGCATTTCAATCTGCTGCTTATTTTATCAAACCACAGTTCATAATTTTTTATTCTGAGCATGATGAAACAGCTGCCATCTACCTCACTCTCCTGTTCTGTAACGTCCAGGAGAAAATCAAGGGGTAACTTAGTGTTTCTGAATATGGACGGTGCCAGGCTGGCTGGGGAGGACGACTGCTGAGGAAAGGCGGGGAAATCTATGGGTGAGGAAGGATGGAGAGCTGTTATTCCCCCACCCCAAGTGGGTTGCCTTGTTTGTAGGGAGAACAGATAGTGGCTCCCCTGAAAGACCCCACCTTGCTCTCCTGCTCCTTAACATGTATGCCTGAGGAAGCAGCTCAGCTGCACAGGGGTGCACGCTTCTCTAGCTGTATGTTCCTCTACCCTGCTTGCACAGTACTTGGCTCTTGTTTGGATGACAGTGATGGATGCTGCTTCCATTAGCATGTGCTCCTCCATGCAACAGCGGTCTGAGGAAGATGAAAGAGGTAGTTAGCTGTGTTAGTCTGAAGTCAGTCAGAAGGCAGGGTAGATATGCACCTTTATAGACTAACTCAATTATATATATAGAGAGAGAGCACAAGTTTCATGGGCTCAAGTTCACTTCATCAGGTGGTGTGAAAGGACAACATGGAACCAGCGGCAGATGAAGATTTACTGGGGCCCTGGACGAACAGAAAATTGGAGGCTCCCCACCAGGCGAGGGCAGGTTCCCTCTGAGCCTGCCAGGGGGCTGCAGCTGGGTCCATCCAGCCTCTTCCACATGTTCAGGGCAAGCCAGGCGGCATGAGCACCACTGAGGTTAAGGCAGCCCCAGCCCCAGCTTGGCCCTTCCGCCCGATGGGTGTCGTGCAGCCAGAGCTGCAGTCCTTCAGCACTGCGGGATGGGCCGGGGATGGGGTTGGTGCCAGGACTGGCACCAACTTGGGGTGGGGAGCTCCAACCCTGGCTGCCGCCCTGTCCCTCTGCTGGCCTGGGCAGGACAAGATGCGGCTGTCCTGTCCTGTCCCAGTGGTGCTGGTGGCCTCCCGCAGATGGCAGGGAGCAGCAGTGGGGCCGCCCATGGGGCTTCCTGGCAGCAGACGGCCCTGGGAAGCTGCCATCACCTACAGGAAGCCCCATGCCTGCCCCTGGCCCTGGTTCTGGCCCAGCCAGAGGGGAGGAGGTGCATGCAGCCAGGATGCCTGCCTGGGCTGTGCTGCCCCTGGCGCCCCTGGGCCTGGGCCCAGGCCCCACAGGCCCATGCATTAATCCACACCTGCACAGAGGTTAAAGTGGTCCCCTCCTCCCCTGCCCCCTACTTACCAGCTCCGAGTCTGGGTCCAGCTGCCTGGTGCAGCTGCTGGGGACTGCCCAAATCATTGAAGCTCTCCGAATCTTTTCCGAAGATTTGGAGAGCTTTGAATTGATTTGGACCTTCTAACTGGTCCCCTGATTCAATTCGGATTTGGAGATTTGGCTACCAAATTGGTCCGAATCTCCTCTGAATCGAATCGCCACCCAAAGCTTTGCACAGCCCTACTGGACACTCCATAGCTGACCTCAGGATTGTTGTTTGTAGAAAAACTTTAAAAACCCATTTGAACAGGAAATAGTGGAATAAGAAATACACAAACTGGACTGTGTCAAGTAAGCTTAAACAAGAGCTACAGTTTCTTAGCTTGTTACTTGGGTTAGCTTTTGTGACCCCTTTCTTCCCATGGGTTCTTTGCTTGTATGACTTTCACAGCACTTCTCCCCTCCCTTCCCTCCCCACTTTCCTATCTATTTCATTCTGACCACTTCACTTCATGTTCTGCTCTATGCTGTCCTTTCACAGCACCTGATGAAGCGAACTTGGGCCCAGGAAAGCTTGTACTCTCTAAGAGATGTATCTTATTTAGTTAGTCCATAAAAGTGCATATGTACCCTGTCTTCTGTGGAAGGGGGATCAGAGTTAGAGTGGGTAGCAGGTGGTGAAACAAGCTGATTAAAAAGAGAAAGAAGGTGGAGGGCAGGGAAGGGGCCAAAGGATGAGTGGCAGAAAAGGAAGGTGCCAGAGGAAATGGGAAGGAGACCGGAGCCCTGGTGGCAATAGTGTTGTGACATGGTGCCAGAAAAGTCATCTGCCAATCATCACTATGGCTTCAGGGGAGTTTCCAAGTCCTGTGTACTAGCTGCACCTGTGTGGCAAGCACTGGACAGCCAGGACCAGCTGCCCTGCATGCATCCTTCATCTGCTGGACACCTCCTGTTCATGCGCCCAAGGGAGGTCACAGAGCAGGGAGTGATGGAGTTGTACTCTCTTTTTGGTTTTCTACTATCTAGTAGAGCAGCTCTCTCTGGAAATTTCCAGCTTCTGTACAAACCGACTTGCTGTGGGCCTTGTGGCATGCCCCTCAACTCTGATCCCCCCTGACTAATTCTACTTCAAACAGCCTGAGTGGAAATCCCTGGTACAAGGAGTGGCAAAAGCAAGAGGGTGCTGTGAGAAATGATAGTTGTGTTAGCTGCTCTTTAGGAAGCGGCACAAAAGCTGGAGACCCCCTCATGCGGAGCACTTAGCAGGAAGCAGTGTTTTTCAGGGAGCAAGCCTGATTTGGCTAAAGGTGTGGTCCTGCCTTCCGTGCATGGACAGTCACAGCAGTGTCACTCAGTGCAGACACCCACATATTGGGTTGTATTAATTTGCATGGCATTACATATCAGGATCTTTTTTCCTACTCAGTTATTTATACTTATGGGGATACTCCCATTTGTGCCCACAACACGATGGGATCCAAGTGTCCCCATTTATGAGACTCTTTACTGAATCATAGAAAAGTAGGGCTGGAAAGAACTGCAGAAGGTCATCTAGTTCAACATTCAGCTCAGTACACCATAGTCCTTGGCTAAATGATTCTGTTCAAATATTTATCTAATAACAAGCCTTTATTGTTGTCTGTCTTACCCAGGGTTTGAATTACAGGGTAGCTTGCGAGGGCTGAGCTCCCCCCACCTAAGAGATGAGAGCCCTCCTATAAGATTTGAAAACCATAACCTATGGAGGTCTCCAGTTTTATTACAGCATCATGATTAGCAGCCCAGTTATTTTTGCAGACCCCTCTCCCCATCCCTGCCCCCCAAGAATCAAAGTATAATTCGAACCCTGGTCTTACCTTGAAGTTGTAACATTGTCCATAGCTTTAGGAACTAGGGGTTCTCACTCCAGTGATTTAGCAATGAGGAGATGGGCTAAAGCAAGAACCAGGGTGATGCAGGCGAGTGCCATGATTTCTGTTTGAAGGGAGCTGTGAAGCAAAAGAATAAATCCCCGAACAAAAGTTTCTTGCATTGGATCAGGTTTCTGGATTTATATACGTTTGTAGTTTCAGGTATTCTGGCCATGAGTATATGACTTGACCTCTATCTTGTTTGCTTAAGGATGAAGCAAGGGGAGGTGACCTTCCTAGATAAATTGCTAAGTTCATGGTTCCATAAGTCCTAGTGTATTGACTTGTGTTTTGTGTACTGGTGAGAACGCAGGTATTTTTCCATTGCTTGGAACTTAGAAGCCATTTATGTGCATCGCCCAGAGACCAGAAGATAAATAATTTCGTCTAAAATTATTTGTGTTTCTGTTCACATTGACCTTGATTATGTTTCCATTACAGTGGATATAAGCACTGTGTTGACTATTTCAAATGCAAGTGGATAGCACTCTGAATACAGGCTGTGATTGCTCTGCTCCATGTGGAGGCTGTTATTGTCCTAAAAAGGATGAAATGTGGATTTTCCCCAAAGTTCTGACACAGTCACAGAGTGGGAATGCCAAGATGTCCCCCTGCCCCTCCTGGCTGTGATACCCTATCTTGTAGGATCCCTTTTACTTCCAATATGCTCTGATCCTGCAGGTGTTTTGCTTGAGGGCACAGCTGAGCTGGTTTGTGAGGCTTCCTTGGGATGTTTGTTGGAATGAATCCTACCGTGAAGCCAACCATTAGTTTTCAAGCCAATATTTGTAAATGTCCTGGACACATGGATTGGCTTCTTTTGTATTTCTGTCCCCTGGGTGAGGACGAGAGATGCTGAGAGCACACAGAGTGAAGGGAAAGCATCTTGGAGTCAGCAGTTCCCTTCCCAGGTCCTCGCTTGGCTATTATTTCAGAGGTTGAAGTGCTGGGGCTTGCTCTGGGTCCTGCTGAGCCCAAAAGAAAGGAGCATTTCCTTTGCCTTCCTCAGGCCCGTCAGGGAGTTTGTGCTGCTGCTGTGCCAAGTGCCTGTGTAGGGGAGCAGAGGTACATGCAGGAAGACCAGCCAGGTGGTAGCAAACAGCAAGAACAGCAACTTGCTTGCTTCATATTGGGGCTGTAATTCTGATCTGTGCCAAGTCTCTTCCATCTCCTTTTTGCTGAGCAAGTGTAACCCATCCTGGCACGCTAAGACTGGGTGATGCACCAGATTTTGGGTCCTCAGGGTGCCACTCGCCCTGGGAGCCCCTCAGGCAGACTACTGCATGGAGTGTCCTGTGGGGAGGTGTGTGCCTCACCCTCACTGCCCAGGAATTTGCTCTGTACCCGATGAACACGTTATTCTTTATTATACACAACCAGTTTATATACAGAAAAAATAAACAAAAATCTAGAGTTAATAACAAAACTAACAATTTAGATAAAGTTTGCAACTACAAAATTAGGTGGACAATTCCAGCACACTGGGTGGTCCCACTTGTGTTAAACGACCTGAATAACTAAATTCACCTCATAAGCTTCCCCCTCCCCCTCCTTAACCCAATTGACTTCCTTCTTGTGACAATCCACTTCCTATTGCAGTAAGTAGCAACATGGTTGTAGCTATGATCCACCACTAGATGGCGAAGGTGAGGCTTCTGCTGTTCTGGGGAAAGGGAGCTCCTTTAATCATTCCTGGTAACACGGTGAACCAGGCTCTGAGCAGCGGCTGCAGACGATGGGCTCCGTTTGTTTCCTTTTCTGGCAGATTGTTCTCTTGAGCAGTTTCCTTCTGAAAATACACTTACTGCAAACACTAGTGATCAAGTGTCCCCTCACACACCCATGCTGGTTTGTTTTCTCCCAGTCCACTCCTTCTCTGGGCTGTCTCCCCCTTCCACCACATGCACCCTGAGACAGGGGTTTCCCTCTGCAGGTCTCTGACTGTGGCTCGAGCCTTCCTAGCTTGGATTTCACCCCAGCGTCTTAGTCGGACACAACTCACAGCCTGGTCATTAACCCTTTAAGGGCTCTGCTGCGTCTCCCAGCACCAGCAAGCCTGCAAGCCTTGCTTACCAACCCCTCCTCATTCTTTCCCTGACACCTGTGTCCTTGGTTGCACAGCTCCAAATTTGGTGGGGAATCAGCTTCTTGTGAGATGACACAGGCTGTTCCCCGTCTTGACACCTGCTCCCTGGGCATGTTTCAGCTCGGGTCTCCCCTGGCTTGGGCTGAGCCTGTGCCCCTCTCTCCAGGGCTGGAGTATACTCCTCCTTTCCCTCCTCTGAGCCTCTGTCCTTTTTTTTCCCCTTCTTTTCCCTCCCTCAGCTTATAGCTCAGTAGCAGCCAGTCAGAATCCCTGGTTTGCAATGTGGGTTCTGGTCACAACTTAAACACTCCAATAAAAAGAATGCATTGTGCACTGCATACCCTCCTATCTGGTAAAAGCTTATGCACCCTCTGCAAAGTTATTGCCACCCTTTTCTTGCAGAGCCCTTAAGCATAGCTTACCCAATTGGCTTGCAGCCAGATGAGATTTGCGGATGTTACACAAGAAAATTAGAGGTCTCCTATTGACCAGCACAGAGGTGCTGCAGGCTTTGAAGGGCATGGCTATGAACTAGTGATTTGTCCTGAAGCACAATGATGCCACTGGGGTAAAGGTCTGATTTTTTAGTCTTCATCCCTGTTAAATGGAGGTGGAGATGCTCTGGTTTCTGGGGATTGCAATGCCTGGCTTTAGAAAACAGTAGGAGCCGGGCATAGGTTTGTCAGACACACTGGACCCAGTTACTTTGAGTCAGCTTGACCTTTATTTTAGAGCAAGGCAAGAAGAACAAAAGCATAATTCTTGAGGAAGGAGCGGAGCACGTGCGCTTCTCATGTAAGAATCTGCACGAAGTGTGAGAAGAAAGCAGCTGCTGGATGTGGCTGGCAGTGCAGAACCTGCTTTGAAGTTTAAAGGTCCAGTGCAAAGCAAACATCAGCGTTGGGAAATGGTGCCCAAGGGACCACGTGAAGAGATTTGAGAGGAGGGGTGAGCTTTAGTGGTGAAACTAGCGGGGAAAAAAGATTTGGTGCTGACATCCATTGTGGGAGTGCACCGTAGCTATGAAATGTGGGTTACTCTGCTGTTGGCTCCACTGTTGGCTCCACTTTGCTGGGGTGCTTGTCACCATCATCATCTTCCAGGGGACATATGGCCTGTGGAGACAGGGAAGGGTGAAATGTCAGTCTTGTGTAAAATGCTGTTTTGGGATTGCAGGGTTTATGTCCTGTAAAGCTTGCACTTATTCTTGGGTGGTTTAACATCCTTCTTTTTCATTCTCACACACTGAAAGGGCTGGAGAAGTCGTCTCCAGCAGGCTGTGTGGGGAGAAGCTAGGGAGGCAGAAGAGTGTGTACCAGGAGAGGGGAGATTGCAAGAGGAAACTGCTGCAGTTTTGCCTGGAGGGGTTTGCAGCAGCTGCCTCAGCAGTTATGGGCGTGGGCTGGATCATGTCTGGCCATGGGCGCTGCAGAGTCTGACTCTGTGTCTTGGTCATGGGAAACTGGTGCCTCCTGAGTCTGGGGGGGCGCCCACAGAAGCCGGCAGTGGCAGCAGGGACAGGACTGGTGAGCATTCACAGCTGCTGCTGGCAGTGTCAGCAGCAACGTAGCTGGTGAGCACCTGCAGACACTGCCAATGGTGTTGACGGCAGAGATGGCCCTGTCAGGGGGCATGTGACACTCCCCCCCTTCCCCCCCCAGTCACCTACAGTCTTGGTGGCTCTCAGACTTTGCTCTGTGGAAGTTCAGTCTAGTGACAATTGATTGTCATGGAATCGTGGCAGGAATACATTGGTGAACCTGGAGGCTGAGGGCCCCTAAGAACGGAAACCAAAAGTTTTGGACTCGGAAGGGAAAAGGCTCCCATTGCCCACTAGGGCAGTGTTCAGTGAGCTTCTCCCCACTAGAGAAGGGCAGCAGTGTGTTGACAGCAGGTTTTGGACCCCAAGACTTCAGTGTTGCGTAGGGAAAATCTGCAGAGCTCTAGGTGCTCTCACTTCACTCCCTGTCCTATTGTGGGGTTTGCTTCTTTTTCCTAACAAGTAGCACACTCACTGTTAATATCATCCTGGCCACCAGTGTCCTTCTCACTTGTTCCCAAGTCTTACATCTGCAAGTTCAGAGGCACAGCTGTCCTAGAGACTCCTGTTGTACAACACACCCCTCGACTATGTAAGTGAATGGAGAAGCTCCACTGTGGTTATCACAGGGACACCATATGATGGGAAGCTGAGCAGTTCTGCTTCGGTTTGGTGAAGCAGATGCCGTACTGGCCAGTTTAGCATTCTGGGCTCCCCCTGATCATATTAAGCCATATTTGAGAGACAAGGGTTGAGCATTCATTTCTGTTCTAGCTCCTATGGATGTTTCTGTGGTTTGAAAGAGGGTTAGCAAATAGCATTGGAATAACTATCCACTCTGTACCTCTGCTGTCGTATAGTACATGTCGTCTTCGGTAAATCCAAGGCAAGCCGCTTGAGCTTTGAATTCTTCCAGGTGTTCTTTGCTCACATTTTGGGACCGAGCTGTTATTGAAGAGGAAAAGGGAAATAGCGGAAATCTTTGATAAAGGTATTTTAAGGAGGGCCAGGGCTGTAGGTAGGTTCTGCCTGAGACCTTCACAACAACAAAGGATAAAACACAGACCTCTGGCTCTGAAAGCCTGAACTTAGAGCAAAGGGGGCTTTCCAGGAAGTATATGTTACAGAGCAAGGGTGGTGTGTTCCTCTCTTTTTTTGGTTAGTTTGTTACATTATACATTTAGGGAAACCACCCTTCCTGTTCCCCTCCTACTTGGTGAGCTAGTGTGCTCTCTGGAGCTGACCTTGTACTATGCCCTTGCTACTGTACTGATAACCAGCTGTTTTTTAGGGAGCTGTACAGAGAAAATCTCCCTGGGAGCATCTACTTGTGTAATTAGGACGTGGGAATACAGTCCGGCACAGTTCACGCTGGAGTTCATCGCTCCTTGGCGCCGTGTTTATATGTCCTCCCAGGAGTGCAGCACAATGAGCTTGGATGGAGCAGCCCCATCTTGCAGGAGGCCTGGGGCTGCTCTGCTCTGGCTTAATGTACTGTGGAGGGGTTTGGAGCACAAGTGTGCTTCTTTGTGCCCTAGCCTGCCCTAGTCACTGTCTATACATGTGTTTTGTTGCACATATTTACTCTGCTATAGAACAGTATTTGTCCTGGACAGTACTGTCCTACAGTTGGGTTAATTAATATACTGCACCCTAATATGGATGCACGTGTATATGGTGAGGCTTTGCTGTGGAGCTAATTAATCAGTCCCACAGTAAAGTGTGCATGTAAATATATCCCCTCTAGTGTACATGAGAGGTTAAAAAAAAAAAAGTCTCCCATCCTGCATTCCTCAGTTTTCTCCACTTCTAGGCTCTTTTCTTTACCATCTTTCCTCCACGGTAGTATGAGAGGAGACTTTTCTTGTCAATGAAACATGCCTGGGAGTTGGCAGGGCTGGAGAGTGATGGTTTCCTGTGGGTCTTGAGAATGAAGACCCTTTCCATTCATATTAATTAGCAAAACTCCAGACATGACAGTTGACCCCAGGCATCTTCTGTTGAGGCCTTGCTAATGATTGGGTGCATACACCAAGCTTTGAGGAAACCAGGTGCAGCCCTAAAAGGGTTGGGTAACTACTGCCCCCCTCTTCTGTCCCAGAACCATTTCTGGAGGAGCAGAGGGGAGGGAAGAGTGGAGTTGAAGGTTAGGGTGCTGGTGCTTGGAGAAGAGGCACACAGGCTAGAGTAATGGACTGGGCCAGAGTCAGACAGACAGAGCCTGGAACCAGTCCTTGGTGTCTCACCTACAGAACAGGAATAATCAAAGCTTTTGGCCTCATGGGGTATTGTAACGCATTCCTGTTATTTTTGTAAGATACTGTGATGATCAAGTCTATGCAAGGACCTAGACAGATGGGTAATGGGGTTCCCAGATTTGGGATGGGGTATACTCACCTGAGAATGATATCCCTTTTTCAACCTGTTGAACGTGGTACATTATCAGAGTGTCGTCAAAGCTGCTCTTGAGGAGTTGCGCTGTGTCGTTTCCATAAGGCCCTTCAGGAAAACAGGTATTTAGGGGAAGAGTGGAGTATTATGACATAAACTTGCAGGGCCTTTTGCCTGTAGTCTGTGAGATGCTGTCCCTAGATGTATTCCACTCAGTTTATATGGACCTAGACAGCCCGAGAGAGGCAGATGAATGTTTTGTCATAAGAGTGTTGCAAGTGGCTTGGAAAGATTTCCCATTACCTGGTTCTGATGACTTGTAGCCCTCTGCTGTGGGATTGATTAAGGCATGGCGGGGATGGGGATTTTAAATGCCTGGGAGAACTAACTAGTGCACTTTTCTGCTCTCAACCTAAACCCAGCCTCTTTTTGGGATGCCAGATGCTTTCTGCTCCCCCCCGCCCCAGCATCTTGGATACATACCTTGAATTGTCATAGTAGAATTGCTTCTGTCAATTGTGATATAGCTTTTCTTGTCCACAATGCAACTCTCATTACTAAATGGGAAAAGAGCAAACATAGGTTAACCACTGAAGGGTGATGCTCCATGGCTTTCTCGGTTAAATTCTGCTATGAGCTAATGTGAGCTACCCTCCTGCATCAAGGAGAGCATAACAGGTAGCCTATATGAATGCATACTACTTTGTGGGGAGTAGTAGATATGCTGGAGGGTAGGGCTAGGATTTGGAGTGATCTAGACAAATGGGAGGATTGGGCAAAAAGGAATCTCATGAGGTTCAACAAGGACAAGTGTGAAGTCCTGCACTTAGGACAGAACAATCCCATACGCCAGTACAGGCTGGGGGCTGACTGGCTGGGCAGCAGCTTTGCAGAAAAGGACCTGGGAGTTACAGTGGACAATAAGCTGAATATAAGCCAGCAGTGTGCCCTTGTTGCCAAGAAGGATATTGGCATACTGGGCTGCACTGGCAGGAGTGTTGCCAGCAAGTTGAGGGAAGTGATTATTCCCCTCTATTCAGCACTGGTAAGGCCACATCTGGAGTACTGTGTTCAGTTTTGGGCTCCCCACTACAGAAACGATGTGGACAAATTGGAGAGAGTCCAGCAGAGGGCAACAAAAATCATGAGGGGGCTGGGAGACATGACTTATGAGGAAAGACTGCAGGAACTGAACTTATTTTGCCTGGAGAAGAGGGGACTTAATAGCAGCCTTCAACTGCCTGAAGTGGGGAACAAAGAGGACGGAGCTCGACTGTTCTCAGTGGTGACAGATGACAGAACAAGGAGCAACGGTCTCAAGTTGCTGCAAGAGAAGTTTAGGTTAGATATTAGGAAGTATTTTTTCACTAGGAGGGTAGTAAAAGACTGGAATAGGTCACCCAGAGAGGTGGTGGAAGCTTCATCCTTGGAGGTTTTCAAAACCCGGCTAGATAGCTTTGGCTGGGATGATCTAGTTGGGGATGGTCCTGCTTTGAGCAGGGGGTTGGAGTAGATGACCTCCTGAGGTCCCTTCCAACCCTAACTTTTGATGATCCTATGATAAAACATTAATAGTCCACCCCCCAAAATAAATCCTGGAGTTTCAGATTATGTGAGCTCTGTTCTGTTCCCAGTCTGCACAGGTACGTGCTCTTTCTCAGACATTTCATGCAGTGTTGACAGCCCTGGAGAGCTCAGGGCCCTCCCCTGACACAGAGCATGCACTTTGCACACCAGAAACGCTCAGAGGGTTTACGGTAGAAGCCAAGGCTTGGAGGATCAGGGACCGTCCTGATGGAAAGGGAGAGCTGGAACTAGGATGGTCTTCCAGTGCAGCTCCTTCTAGTGCACTACATGAGCATGACAAATTCCCTGGCTGCCTAAATGTGGCCAAGGACTTTGAGGCAAATTAGGTGAAAGGGATCTCTAGTTCTGGTGACAGGGTCAATGAAAATCCCTTGCAGCCTGTGCCTATTCAGGGAAAATGTTAGTATAAATAGTTAGACATGACTAAGGGTGTTGGAAGGGCCTGTGTTATTGCTCTTACAATCTCATGACTTGTATTACTTGGAGCTCATCCTCATGTTTGCCCGGGTAAAAGAAAAAATAGGCATTCTTCAGCAGTTCCATTTCCCTCTGGTGAGGTTTGTAGTGTGAAGCCCCAACAATGTAGAACCATTTCCCCAGCGCCTATGAAAATGAGGTGAGAGAAAGAAATGAATTATCAGGAGATGCACAAAAGCCTTGTGCTCTGTGTGTATTCACCTTTTGCTTGTTTGCATTACATGAGCACATCCTGATCCCAGATGGGAGTAACGAGTGGGAACGCACGGTGTAGGCACACAGGACAGGTCCATCCTGGTGTTTTTAATCTACATTGGACCCTTTTTGGGTAATGTTCGGTTTGTTTTGATCATCCTTTTCTTATGCCCGATACTGTTAGTCTTTGCTAGGGTGTTGAGTTAAAACTTCCCTTGACATAGGATTTAACTGTCACAGCTACAAGCTGCTGCTTATTTAATCAGAGCCCTGTTTGCAACTTTACTCTGTGCAGGAGAACACCCACCTCATACCCCCACACCACAGATGATCTGCCTTGTTTCTGGGGAAAAAAGGTGGAAGCTCCCTGAGGTAGCCCACCTTGTCTTCCTTTCCCCTAATGTACCTGCCTCAGGGAGCAGCTCATGCACAGGGACGAGTGCACAGGCTCCACTAGCTGTGCCAGGCTTCTTGACATTGCTTGCACACTGCTTAGGTCTTGTTTGGATGACAACTATGGGCACCCATTGGCATGCGCTCTTCTGGAGCGATGGCCTGGGAAGGGGAATCAGAGGTAGTGGGGATAGCAGACAGGGAGACAAGCCAGTGAAAAAACTGCTCCAAAAGAGAAAAGGTAGAGGGAGAGCAGGGAAGGGTTGTAAAGGTGAGTGGCAGAAAAGTGAAGTGCCAGAGGAAACGGGAGACCCAGTGGTAGCAGGGCTGTGATGTGGTGCACGGTGTGGGTGGGGAGCCTTAGTGGAGATCTTGAGCACAAGAAGTGTCAAGAAGAAGAGGTTGCTGTGTGGGCTGAAAGTTGTATTGCCCATTTTTTGGGGTTGGGATGTGACCTGGAGCTTCCTTTGCTTGGGAAACATAAAGCAGGGCTGGGCAGGGCACTAGAAAACATTCTCCAGGGGAGAATCCTGGGTTGGCCGAGGGATGTGGAGTCAGGGTCTGGCAAGTACTTGGCTGCCTATCTAGTCTCTGTGGGCAGGGTCACAGCTGCACCACTTGCATTGGTGTTCTGGGATCTAGGTGAGCAGATTGTCATTGTTTGGGTCTGCTAAATGGTCCTCTTGTCTGGGCTTAAATATCTCAGACCACGTACTATATAGTCTTCCCCATACACAGTCCACATGTCTTGTATAGAAAACAGCTGGCAGAAATGTGGCCCTTCAGAGAAGGGCTTCTCTTACCTTGGAAACTGTAGCATCATCAAGAGTTTCTGGAACAAGAGGTTCACAGTCCAGAGGTTTAGCGTTGAGGAGATGGGCCAAGCCAAGAAGAAGAGCAATACAGGCCAGTGCCATAGTTTCTATCTGAAGGGTGGTGAGAAGCAGGAGAGTCCAAACCACTGCCTGAAGCTGCTCGACTGAATGCAGATAGCAGTTTTTAGAGGTATTTGTAGCTGAAAATCTGTGATTTCCCAAACATGCCCATAAATGCTTGGATTAGTTACTGTAATACTCTGTTTGCTTATGGATGAAGCAAGGAAAGGTGACCTTTGTAAATAAATCACTCAGTTCGTTGTTCCCTGAGTCCTAGTGTATATATTAGTGTTTCGTGTATTGGTGAGGACACAGGTATTTTTCCATCACTTGAAACTTAGAACCCATTCATATGCATCACCCAGAGAGCTGATGACAGATAATTTTGTTGAGATTATCTTTTTTTCTGTTCACATTGACCTTGATTATGTTTCCATTACAGCTGATATAAGCATAGCATTAATTTGTACTTCAAATTAAATGGCTTGTGCTCTGAGTACAGGTTGTGATCCTCCATGTGGAGGCAGTCCTTGTCCTAATAAGGGTCAAATGTGGATTTTCCCAAAAGTTGTGACACAGTGGGAGTGCAAGGATGCCCCCCCTCGCCTCCTCCCAGTTGTGATGCCCTTTCTTGTAGGATCCCTTATGACTCCAATATGCTCTGATCCTGCAGGTGTTTTGCATGGGGGCACAGCTGAGGTGGTTTGTGTGGCTTTCCAGGGATGTTTGCAGGAACAAGCTCTAGTCTGAAGCCAACCATTAGTTTTAAAGCCAAGATTTTGTAAATGTCCTGAACACATGGATTGGTTTCTTTTCCATTTCTGTCCCCTGAGTGAGGATGAGAGATGCTGAGAGCACACAGAGTGAAGGGAAAGCATCTTGGAGTCAGCAGTTCCCTTTGCAGCTCCTCTCTTGGCTGACATGTCAGGGGCTGAAGTGCTGGGGCTCGCTCTGGGTCCTGCTGAGACCAAAAGAAAGGAGCATTTCCTTTGCCATGTAAAGGAAGTGGGATCAGGCCCGCCAGGGAGTTTCACTGTTGCTGCAGTGCCAAGTGCCTGTGTAGGGGGGCAGAGGTGAAAGGGCAGGTTGTAGCGAACAGCAAGAATAGCAACTTGCTTGGTTCATATTGGGGCTGTAATTTTGATCCGTGCCCAGCCTCTTCCACCTCCTTTTTGCTATGCAAGAAAATTAGAGGTCTCCCATTGACCAGCACAGAGATGCTGCAGGCTTTGAAGGGCATGGTCACTAACCAGTGACTTGTCCTGAAGCACAATGATGCCACTGGGGTAAAGGTCTGATTTTTAGTCTTCATCCCTGTTAAATGGAGGTGGAGATGCTCTGGTTTCTGGGGATTGCAATGCCTGGCTTTAGAAAACAGTAGGAGCCGGGCATAGGTTTGTCAGACACACTGGACCCAGTTACTTTGAGTCAGCTTGACCTTTATTTTAGAGCAAGGCAAGAAGAACAAAAGCATAATTCTTGAGGAAGGAGCGGAGCACGTGCGCGTCTCGTGTAAGAATCTGCACGAAGTGTGAGAAGAAAGCAGCTGCTGGATGTGGCTGGCAGTGCAGAACGTGCTTTGAAGTTTAAAGGTCCAGTGGAAAACAAACATCTGTGTTGGGAAACGGTGTCCAAGGGACCATGTGAAGAGATTTGAGAGGAGGATGAGCTTTAATGCAAGACTAGTTGGGGAAAAAAGATTTGGTGCAGACATCCATTGTGGGAGGACAGTGTAGCTGTGAAATGTGGGTTACTCTGCTGTTGGCTCCACTTTGCTGGGGTGCTTGTCATTGTCATCGTCTTCCAGGGGACATATGGCCTGTGGAGACGGGGAAGGGTGAAATGTCAGTCTTGTGTAAAATGCTGTTTTTGGACTGCAGGGTTTATGCCCTGTAAAGCTTGCACTTGATTCTTGGGTGGTTTAAAATCCTTCATTTTTATTCTCTCACACTGAAATGGCCGGAGAAGTCGTCTCCAGCAGGCTGTGTGGGGAGAAGCTAGGGAGGCAGAAGTGTATGTACCAGGAGAGGGGAGATTGCAAGAGGGAACTGCTGCAGTTTTGCCTGGAGGGGTTTGCAGTTTCCTACCATTAAGCCGACATGGGCTGGCAGCACCTATGACAGACATGTGGGAGAAAGGGCTGCCTCAGCAGTTATGGGCGTGGGCTGGATCATGTCTGGCCACGGGCGCTGCAGAGTCTATCTCTGTGTCTTGGTCATGGGAGACTGGTGCCTCCTGAGTCTGGGGGTCGCCCACAGAAGCTGGCAGTCAGGGGAGGGACGGGACTGGTGAGCATCTGCAGATGCTGCTGGCAGTGTCAGTAGCAATGGAGCTGGTGAGTATGTGCAGACACCGCCGGCAGCGAGGATGGAGCTGGTGAGCACCCATAGACGCCGCCAGTGGTGTTGACGGCAGGGACGCCCCTGTCAGGGGGCATGTGCCCCCCCCGTCAGTCACCTATGGTCTTGGTGGCTCTCAGGCTTTGCTCTGCAGAAGTTCACTCTAGTGACAATTGGTTGTCATGGAATCGTGGCAGGAATACATTGGTGATCCTGGAGGCTGAGGGCCCCTAAGAACAGAAACCATAAGTTTTGGACTCGGAAGGGAAAAGGCTCCCATTCCCCACTAGGGCAGTGTTCAGTGAGCTTCTCCCCACTAGAGAAGGGCAGCAGTGTGTGGACAGCAAGTTTTGGACCCCAAGTCTTCAGTGTTGCATGGGGAAAGAGCCTGCAGAGCTCTAGGTGCTCTCACTTCACTCCCTGTCCTACCGTGGGGTTTGCTTCTTTCTTTTTCCTGAGTAGCACACTCGCTGTTAATATCATCCTGGCCACCAGCGTCCTTCTTACTTGTCCCCAAGTCTTACACCTGGAAGTTCAGAGGCACATCTATCCTAGAGACTCCTGTTGTACAACACACCCCTCGACTATGTAAGCGAATGGAGAAGCTCCACTGTGGTTATCACAGGGGCACCATATGACGGGAAGCTGAGCAGTTCTGCTTCGGTTCAGTCACGCATATGCTGTACTGGCCAGTTTAGCATTGTGGGCTCCCCCTAATGATTTTTAAGCTGTTTTTGAGGGGTAATGGTTGAGTGTTCATTTTTGTTCCAGCTCCTATGAATGTTTCTGTGGTTTGAAAGAGGGTTAGCAAATAGCATTGGAATAACTATCCACTCTGTACCTCTGCTGTCGTATAGTACATGTCGTCTTCGGTAAATCCAAGGCAAGCCGCTCGAGCTTTAAATTCTTCCAGTTGTTCTTTGCTCACGTTTTGGGACCGAGCTGTTATTGAAGAGGAAATGAGAAATAGCAGAAACCCTTATACAGGCCTATTTTAAGAAGGGCCAAGGCTGTAGGTAGGTTCTGCCTTGAGACCTTCACAAGAACAAAGGATAAAACCCCGGACCTGTTGCTTCTAAAGTCTGAACTTAGAGCAAAGGGGGCTTTTCAGGAAGTGTTGGGAATCGTATGTGTATGTGGTGTAGCACAAAACTGGTGTGTTCCTTCCTTCTTTGGTAAGATCCTTACATTATACATTTAGGAAAACCACCCTTCCTTTTCTCCTAGTACTTGGTGAGCTAGTGTGCTCTTTGTTGCTGACCTTGTTCTATGTCTTTGCTACTATGCACTTAGCCAGCTGTTGTCTTGGCGGCAGTATGGAGAGGATCTCCCTCTATCCTGCATGAGTGTTAGAAAAGTCTCCCATCCTACTTCCCTTCGTTTTCTCCATTTCTGCGCTCTCCTTTACAACTGCGACAGAGAAGGTAGGAGAGGAGACTTGTCTATGAAATTTCTCTGGGAGTTGGCGGTGCTGGAGACTGATGGTTTACAGCGGGTCTTGAGAATCAAAAGTCTTCCCTTTCCTATTAAACATTAAACCTCCAGACATGATAGTTAACCTCAAAGCTTTTTGCTAACGATTGGGTACTCACACCAACCTTTGAAGAAATCAGGTGCAATCCTAAATGGATTGGGTAGCTACTGTCCCTCTCTTCCCCTGGTTTTGGAGTCCTTTTTGGAGGAGGAGCAGAGGGGAAGGAAGAGGGGGGTTGAAGTTTAGGGTGCTGGTGCTTGGGGAAGAGAGACACAGGGTAGAGTAAGTGGCTGGGCCAGAGTCAGACAGACAGAGCCCGGAACCAATCCTTGGTGTCTCATCTACAAAACAGGAATAATCAAACCTGTTTATCTCATGGCATATTGTAACAAATTCCTGTTATTTTTGTAAGATGTGTGGATACTGTGGTGATCAAGTCTATGCTAGGACCGAGACAGATGGGGAAGGACTTCCCAGATTTGGGATGGGGTTTACTCACCTGAGAGTGATATCCCTTTTTCAACATTTTGAATGTGGTACATTATCAAACTGTCCTCGAAGTTGCTGTGGAGGATTTGCGCTGTGCCATTTTCACGAGGCCCTTCAGGAAAACAGGTATTAGGGGAACAGTGAAGTAGTATGACATAAACCTGCAGGGCCTTTTGCCTGTTGTCTGTGATTAGAGATGCTGCCTTTACATGTAAAAGGCACAGTTCACGTGGACCTACAAGCTCATGTTTAAGCATGGCTGGACAGACTGTTGTGGTTGCATCAACCCCATTAGCACTAGCAGGCTAAACCTTGATGAAAAGTGCGTTAGCTGGTACCATAATGGTCATGTGGCAGTGGTACTGATGTACTCGATGTAGAAATTTTCCCCCTCAGGCCATGACTCTGGGTGAGTAGACGGCCCGCGAGAGGCAGACGAATGCTTTGTCATTAGAATATTGCAAAAGGCTAGAAATTATTTCCTGCTCCCTGGGTTTGGATGACTTGCAGCACTCTGCTGTGGGATTGATAAATGCATGGTGGAAATGGGGAGTTAAAATGCCTGGCAGAAGTAACCTGTGCACTTTTCTGCTCTCAACCTGAATCTAGGCTCTCTTTGGGATGTCAGATGCCTTTTGCTTTTCCCCCTAGCATCTTTGGGTCGTTACCTTTTATTGTTATTGTAGAATTGCTTCTGTCTATTGTGACATAAATGTCCTTGTCCACAATGCAACTCTCATTGCTAAATGGAAAAAGAGCAAATAGGTTAACCACTGAAGGGTGATGATCTATGGCAGGGGTGGGCAAAATGCGGCCCGTGGGCTGTATGCGGCCATCCAGGCCATTCTATGTGGCCCGCGGGGCCCCTAAAAAATGTAGAAAATTAATATTTATCTGCCCCTGGCTGCCTGTTGTGCGGCCCTCGATGGCTTGCCAAAACTCAGTAAGCGGCCCTCCGCCCAAAATAATTGCCTGCCTCTGCTCTATATCTTTCTAGGTTACGTTCTGCTTTTAGCCCATGTGAACTACCTGTCTGCATTGAGGAGAGCATGGCACATGGCCTTTTTGAGTGCATAAAACATTAATAGCCTGCCCCTCTCCCCCAAATAAATCGGGTAGTTTCAGGTTATTTGAGTTCAGACTTCTGTTGCGGACCAGCACAGGTACGTGCTCTTTCTCGGAGCATTTGATGCAGCGCTGAGAGGCCTTGAGAGCTCAGGCCCCTCTCCTGACACAGGGCGTACACTTTACATATCAGAAATACTCAAGTGTGATTACAGCAGAACCCGAGGCTTGGATGATCAGGGACCCGAGAAGTGGAGTTTCTTCAAGTGTAGCCCCTTCTAGTAGACTATATGGGCATGATATGCCCCCCACCCCCCGGCTGCTTGAATGTGGTCAGGGACCTTGAGGCAATATAAGCAAGTGGGATCTCTAGTTTTAGTTAACAGTGACGGTGAGAATCCCTTGCACCCAGGACCTATTCAGGGAAAATATTAGTATAAATAGCGGCACACAAGTGAGGGTGTTGGGAGGGCCCGTGTTAATGCTCTTACATTCTCATGACTTCTGTGACTTGGAGCTCATCGTTGTGTTTGCCCTGGAAGAAGTAATAATAAGTGTTCTTTAGCACTTCCATTTCCTTCTGGTGAGGTTTGTAGTGTGAAGCTCCAACAATGTAGAACCATTTCCCCAGAGCCTATGAAAGTGAGGAGAGAAAGAAATGAATTATTAGGGGATACACAGAAGCCTTGAGGTGTGTGAATATTCACCTTGTTCTTGTTTGCATTACGTTAGCACATAATGATCCCAGTTGGGAGTAACAAGTGGGTAGACTCTGTGTAGGCACATGGAAAGACAGGTCCATTCTGAAGATCTTAGTCTACATTGGACCCTTTTTTGGGTAACGTTCAGTTTCTTTTGATCACACTTTTCTTATGCTCAGTGCTGTTAGTCTTTGCTAGGGTGTGGAGGGAAAACTTTCCTTGACAGAGGATTAAACTGTCAAAACTACAACCTGCTGCTTATTTTATCAGAGCCCTGTTTGCAACTGTACCCTCTGCAGAAAAACCCCTCATCTATATAGAATCATAGAAAATTAGGATTAGAAGGGACCTCAGGAGTCATCGAGTCCAACCCACCCACTTGAAGTAGGACCATCCCCAACTAGATCATCCTTGCCCAGGCTTTTTTTAGCCATGTTGTAAAAACCTTCACAAATGGAGGTTCCACCACCACTCTGGGTAACCTGTTCCAGTGCTTTACTACCCTCCTAGTGAGGACCCTTTTTTTTCTAATATCTGACCTAAACTTCCCTTGCTACAACTTGAGACCATTGCTCCTTGTTCTGTCATCTGCCACCACCAAGAACAGTCCAGCTCCATCCTCTTTGGAGCCACCCTGCAGGGAGTTGAAGGCTATTCAATTCCTCTCAGTCTTCTTTTCTCCAGACTAAGTAAGCCCAGTTTCCCCAGCTTGTCCTTACAAGTCATGTGCCCCCGCCCCATAACCGTTTTCATTGCCCTCTGCTGGACTCCCCAATTAGCCACATCCTTTCCCTAGTGGGAGGTCCAAAACTGGACAAAGTACTCCAGGTGTGGCATCACTGTGCTGAATACAGGGGAATAATTACTTCCCTTGACCTGCTGGCAAAGCTCCTACTAATACAGCCCATTATGCCATTAGCTTATATTCAGCTTATTGTCCACTGTAATCTACAGGTCTTTTTCTGCAGACCTGGTGCCTAGTCAGTCGGTCCCCATCCTGCACTGGTGTGCTGGATTGTTCGTTCTGTCCTAAGTACAGGACTTTGCAATTCTCCTTATTGAATCTCATGAGATTTCTTTTGGTTCAAACCTCCAATTTCTTGAGATCTCTCTGAATCCTAGCCTTACTCTCCCATGATCTACTATTCCCCCCTGCTTTGTGTTATCTGCAGACTTACTGAGGGTGTAGTCCATCTTATCTTTCAGGTCATTGATGAACATATTGAACAAAACCAGCCCAGGGTGGACCCCAGGGGCACTCCGATTGGTTTCAGCTGCCAACTACACATTGAACCGTAAGTTGATGATCCAGCCAATTTTCTATTCACCTTACTATCCATTCATCCAACCAGTACTTCCTTAGCTTGCTTGTGAGAATCTTGTGGGAGACAGTATCAAAAGCCTTTCTAAAGTCAAGGTATATATTTTTCTGTGTCCACAGAGCCAGTTAGCTCATCATACAAGGCAATCCAGTTGGTCAGGCATGACTTGATCTTGGTAAATCCATACTGACTGTCCCTAATCCCCACCTTCTTCTCCAAGTGCTTAGAAATAGATTTTTTTAGGATCTGTTCCATGAGATTTTCAGGGACTGAGGTCAGGCTAACTAGCCTGTAGATCCCTAGGTCCTCCTTCTTCCCTTTCTTAAAGATGGGCACTATATTTGCCCTTTTTCAGTCATCTGGGACCTCTCCCAATTGCTACAAGTTTTCAAAGATAATGGCCAGCAGTTCTGCAATCACATTGGCCAACTCCCTCAGCCCTCTTGGGTGCATCGTGTCTGGGCCCGTGGACTTGTACACATCCAGCTTTTCTCAATAGTCCCTAACCTGTTTCTTTACCATTGCTGGCTGCTCACCTCCTCCCCAAACTGTGCTGCCAGGTGCAGTAGTCTGGGAGCTGACCTTACCTGTTAAGACTGAGGTGAAAAAGGCATTGAGCACTTCAGCCTTTTCCTCATCCTCTGTTATTAGGTTGCCTCCCTCATGCAGTAAGGGACCCACACTTTCTCTGATATTCCTCATGTTGCTGACTTACTTGTAGAAACCCTCCTCGTTACCCTTAACATCCCTTGCTAGCTGCAACTCCAATAGCACTTTAGCTTCCTGATTTCATCCCTGCATGTCCAAGCACTACTCTTATACTCCTCCCTAGTTTGCCCAAGTTTCCACTTCTTGTAAGCTTCTGTTTTGTGTTTTAATTTTCTGATGAGTTCCCTGCTAAGCCAAGCTGGTCTTCTGCCATACTTGCCAGTCTTTGTGTGCATTGGGATGTTGCATTCCTGTGACCTCAGCAAGGGTCCTTTAGAGTACAGCCAGCTCTTCTGGACTCCTTTCTCCCTCAGACAGGCCTCCCAGGGGAGCCTGACCATCAGTTCCCTAAATGAGTCAAAGACTGTTTTTCCTTACTCCGCTGCTCTCCTCCCTTCCTTTCCTCAGGTTCCTGAACTCAGTCATTTTGGGGTCATTGCTGCCCAAATTGCCATCCACTACTACATTCTCCGCCAATTCTTCCCTGTTTGTGAGCAGCAAGTCAAGAAGAGCCTGGCCCCTAGTTGGCCTGTCCAACACCTGCACCCGGATGGTGTCCCTAACACTCTTCAAAAACTTTCTGGGTTGCTTGTGCACTGCTGTATTTGCCCTTCCAGCAGATGTGAGAGTGATTGAAATCCCCCACGAGAACCAGGCCCTGTGATTGGGAAACTTCTACTAGCTGTTTGAAGAAGGCCTCATCTACCTTGTCTGATGGTCTATAGCAGACCCCCCACTCCTATTGCTGTCCTCTCTCACCCTGATCCAGAGACTTTAAACAAACCTATCTCCACTTTGATATTGGAGCTCTGAGCAATCGTATGGCTCTTTTACATACAGTGCAACTCCTCCCCTTCTCCCCTGCCTGCTCTTCTTGAACAGTTTCTACCCATCCATGACAGTGCTCCAGTCATGCGAGCTCCCATCAAGTCTTTGTTATATTCCAGTCATGTCACAGGTCCGTGACTGTGCAAGGACTTCTAGTTCTTTCTGCTTGTTTCCCAGGCTCTGTGCATTTGTGCACAGACACCTGAGGTAGGTAACTAGCTGATGAGAAGGCCTCCCCTGTTGCCCCATCCTGCTTATACTTCCTCCAGGCCACCCACTTGCCCACTTACCTCAGGGCTTTGGTCTCCATCCCCTGGCAACCTAATTTAAAGCCCTCCTTACTAGGTTAGTGAGCCTGTCTGCAAATATGCTCTTCCCTTTCTTGTCAGGTGTATCCCACCTCTTCCTAGCAATCGTTCTTCTTGGAACAACATCCTGTGGTCAAAGAAATCAAAGTCCTGCTTGGCAACACCATCTGGATAGCCATGGCTTGATCTGCAGGATGTCTGCTCTTGTCTTGGGCTTTCCTTTTGACCATAAGGATCAAGGAGAACACCACCGGAGGCTCTGTGCCCTTCACCTTTGCACCCAGAGCTCTGTAGTCACTTTTGATCTGCTCAAAGTCACTCCTGGCAGTATCATTGGTGCCACATGGATGTACAGCATGGGGTAGTAGTCAGAGGGCTGGATAAGTATTGGAAATCGCTCTATGACATCTCGGATCCAGGCTCCGGGCAAGCAGCAGACCTCCTGAGATAGCAGGTCAGGCAGGCAGAAGGACTCCTCCATGCTCCGTAGGAGGGAATCTCCAAACACTTACCACCCATCTCTTCCTCTTGGTGGCAGCCATCTTGATCCTACCAACCTTGGGGATGCCTGGCCTGGCTTCTTCCAGCATGGAACGTCCTTCTCCTTCTCTGTTGTTGGAAGGATATGCCTCACTTTCTCACTCTCCCGCTTTCCCCTAAATCCCAGGAGGACTTCAAGGGATAATATAGTGCTTCCAAGCATGAAAGGTGTCCAGCTGCTTGGGGAGGGAGGATGCCAAGGTGAGGGGTTGTCAGGTTGTGTGGAGAACCTCATATCTCCACACCACAGGTGAGCTGCCTTGTTGCTAGGGAAAAAAGGTAGAAGCTCCCCAAGTTACCCTACCTTGTCTTCCTGGTGCCTAATGTACCTGCCTGAGGGAGCAGCTCATGTGCACAGGGATGCGGGCTCCACTGGATGTGCCAGGCTTCTTGACATTGCTTGCACAGCACTTAGCTCATTTTGATGACAACTATGGACACCCCTCCATTCACTCATATGGTAGCATGTGCTTTTATGGAGGGGGTTGGACTTGATGACATACTGAGGTCCCTTCTGACCCTAACATCTATGAATCTATGATGGCCTGGGAAGGGGAATCAGAGGTAGTGGGGGTAGCAGGCAGGGAGACAAGCTGGTGAAACAAACTGGTCCAAAAGAGAAAAGGTAGAGGGAGAGCAGGGAAGGGTTGTAAAGGCGAGTGGCAGAAAAGTGAGGTGCCAGAGGAAAAAGGAGCCCTGGTGGTAGCAGGGCTGTGATGTGGTGCGTGTGTGTGTGTGTGTGGGCGGGGGGAGGTCTTCTGCCAGCTGGCACCCCCACATGCCTCTTGTTTCCTTCATGTGAGTTCACCAGCTAGTGACTGTACGTCAATGGGAAACTCAGTGGAGATCTTGAGCACAAGAAGTGTCAAGAAGAAGAGGTTGCTGTGTGGGCTGAAAGTTGTATTGCCCATTTTTTGGGGTTGGGATGTGACCTGGAGCTTCCTTTGCTTGGGAAACATAAAGCAGGGCTGGGCAGGGCACTAGAAAACATTCTCCAGGGGAGAATCCTGGGTTGGCCGAGGGATGTGGAGTCAGGGTCTGGCAAGTACTTGGCTGCCTATCTAGTCTCTGTGGGCAGGGTCACAGCTGCACCACTTGCATTGGTGTTCTGGGATCTAGGTGAGCAGATTGTCATTGTTTGGGTCTGCTAAATGGTCCTCTTGTCTGGGCTTAAATATCTCAGACCACGTACTATATAGTCTTCCCCATACACAGTCCACATGTCTTGTATAGAAAACAGCTGGCAGAAATGTGGCCCTTCAGAGAAGGGCTTCTCTTACCTTGGAAACTGTAGCATCATCAAGAGTTTCTGGAACAAGAGGTTCACAGTCCAGAGGTTTAGCGTTGAGGAGATGGGCCAAGCCAAGAAGAAGAGCAATACAGGCCAGTGCCATAGTTTCTATCTGAAGGGTGGTGAGAAGCAGGAGAGTCCAAACCACTGCCTGAAGCTGCTCGACTGAATGCAGATAGCAGTTTTTAGAGGTATTTGTAGCTGAAAATCTGTGATTTCCCAAATGTGCCCATGCCAACTCCCTCAGCCCTCTTGGGTGCATCGTGTCTGGGCCCGTGGACTTGTACACATCCAGCTTTTCTCAATAGTCCCTAACCTGTTTCTTTACCATTGCTGGCTGCTCACCTCCTCCCCAAACTGTGCTGCCAGGTGCAGTAGTCTGGGAGCTGACCTTACCTGTTAAGACTGAGGTGAAAAAGGCATTGAGCACTTCAGCCTTTTCCTCATCCTCTGTTATTAGGTTGCCTCCCTCATGCAGTAAGGGACCCACACTTTCTCTGATATTCCTCATGTTGCTGACTTACTTGTAGAAACCCTCCTCGTTACCCTTAACATCCCTTGCTAGCTGCAACTCCAATAGCACTTTAGCTTCCTGATTTCATCCCTGCATGTCCAAGCACTACTCTTATACTCCTCCCTAGTTTGCCCAAGTTTCCACTTCTTGTAAGCTTCTGTTTTGTGTTTTAATTTTCTGATGAGTTCCCTGCTAAGCCAAGCTGGTCTTCTGCCATACTTGCCAGTCTTTGTGTGCATTGGGATGTTGCATTCCTGTGACCTCAGCAAGGGTCCTTTAGAGTACAGCCAGCTCTTCTGGACTCCTTTCTCCCTCAGACAGGCCTCCCAGGGGAGCCTGACCATCAGTTCCCTAAATGAGTCAAAGACTGTTTTTCCTTACTCCGCTGCTCTCCTCCCTTCCTTTCCTCAGGTTCCTGAACTCAGTCATTTTGGGGTCATTGCTGCCCAAATTGCCATCCACTACTACATTCTCCGCCAATTCTTCCCTGTTTGTGAGCAGCAAGTCAAGAAGAGCCTGGCCCCTAGTTGGCCTGTCCAACACCTGCACCCGGATGGTGTCCCTAACACTCTTCAAAAACTTTCTGGGTTGCTTGTGCACTGCTGTATTTGCCCTTCCAGCAGATGTGAGAGTGATTGAAATCCCCCACGAGAACCAGGCCCTGTGATTGGGAAACTTCTACTAGCTGTTTGAAGAAGGCCTCATCTACCTTGTCTGATGGTCTATAGCAGACCCCCCACTCCTATTGCTGTCCTCTCTCACCCTGATCCAGAGACTTTAAACAAACCTATCTCCACTTTGATATTGGAGCTCTGAGCAATCGTATGGCTCTTTTACATACAGTGCAACTCCTCCCCTTCTCCCCTGCCTGCTCTTCTTGAACAGTTTCTACCCATCCATGACAGTGCTCCAGTCATGCGAGCTCCCATCAAGTCTTTGTTATATTCCAGTCATGTCACAGGTCCGTGACTGTGCAAGGACTTCTAGTTCTTTCTGCTTGTTTCCCAGGCTCTGTGCATTTGTGCACAGACACCTGAGGTAGGTAACTAGCTGATGAGAAGGCCTCCCCTGTTGCCCCATCCTGCTTATACTTCCTCCAGGCCACCCACTTGCCCACTTACCTCAGGGCTTTGGTCTCCATCCCCTGGCAACCTAATTTAAAGCCCTCCTTACTAGGTTAGTGAGCCTGTCTGCAAATATGCTCTTCCCTTTCTTGTCAGGTGTATCCCACCTCTTCCTAGCAATCGTTCTTCTTGGAACAACATCCTGTGGTCAAAGAAATCAAAGTCCTGCTTGGCAACACCATCTGGATAGCCATGGCTTGATCTGCAGGATGTCTGCTCTTGTCTTGGGCTTTCCTTTTGACCATAAGGATCAAGGAGAACACCACCGGAGGCTCTGTGCCCTTCACCTTTGCACCCAGAGCTCTGTAGTCACTTTTGATCTGCTCAAAGTCACTCCTGGCAGTATCATTGGTGCCACATGGATGTACAGCATGGGGTAGTAGTCAGAGGGCTGGATAAGTATTGGAAATCGCTCTATGACATCTCGGATCCAGGCTCCGGGCAAGCAGCAGACCTCCTGAGATAGCAGGTCAGGCAGGCAGAAGGACTCCTCCATGCTCCGTAGGAGGGAATCTCCAAACACTTACCACCCATCTCTTCCTCTTGGTGGCAGCCATCTTGATCCTACCAACCTTGGGGATGCCTGGCCTGGCTTCTTCCAGCATGGAACGTCCTTCTCCTTCTCTGTTGTTGGAAGGATATGCCTCACTTTCTCACTCTCCCGCTTTCCCCTAAATCCCAGGAGGACTTCAAGGGATAATATAGTGCTTCCAAGCATGAAAGGTGTCCAGCTGCTTGGGGAGGGAGGATGCCAAGGTGAGGGGTTGTCAGGTTGTGTGGAGAACCTCATATCTCCACACCACAGGTGAGCTGCCTTGTTGCTAGGGAAAAAAGGTAGAAGCTCCCCAAGTTACCCTACCTTGTCTTCCTGGTGCCTAATGTACCTGCCTGAGGGAGCAGCTCATGTGCACAGGGATGCGGGCTCCACTGGATGTGCCAGGCTTCTTGACATTGCTTGCACAGCACTTAGCTCATTTTGATGACAACTATGGACACCCCTCCATTCACTCATATGGTAGCATGTGCTTTTATGGAGGGGGTTGGACTGGATGACCTACTGAGGTCCCTTCTGACCCTAACATCTATGAATCTATGATGGCCTGGGAAGGGGAATCAGAGGTAGTGGGGGTAGCAGGCAGGGAGACAAGCTGGTGAAACAAACTGGTCCAAAAGAGAAAAGGTAGAGGGAGAGCAGGGAAGGGTTGTAAAGGCGAGTGGCAGAAAAGTGAGGTGCCAGAGGAAAAAGGAGCCCTGGTGGTAGCAGGGCTGTGATGTGGTGCGTGTGTGTGTGTGTGTGGGCGGGGGGAGGTCTTCTGCCAGCTGGCACCCCCACATGCCTCTTGTTTCCTTCATGTGAGTTCACCAGCTAGTGACTGTACGTCAATGGGAAACTCAGTGGAGATCTTGAGCACAAGAAGTGTCAAGAAGAAGAGGTTGCTGTGTGGGCTGAAAGTTGTATTGCCCATTTTTTGGGGTTGGGATGTGACCTGGAGCTTCCTTTGCTTGGGAAACATAAAGCAGGGCTGGGCAGGGCACTAGAAAACATTCTCCAGGGGAGAATCCTGGGTTGGCCGAGGGATGTGGAGTCAGGGTCTGGCAAGTACTTGGCTGCCTATCTAGTCTCTGTGGGCAGGGTCACAGCTGCACCACTTGCATTGGTGTTCTGGGATCTAGGTGAGCAGATTGTCATTGTTTGGGTCTGCTAAATGGTCCTCTTGTCTGGGCTTAAATATCTCAGACCACGTACTATATAGTCTTCCCCATACACAGTCCACATGTCTTGTATAGAAAACAGCTGGCAGAAATGTGGCCCTTCAGAGAAGGGCTTCTCTTACCTTGGAAACTGTAGCATCATCAAGAGTTTCTGGAACAAGAGGTTCACAGTCCAGAGGTTTAGCGTTGAGGAGATGGGCCAAGCCAAGAAGAAGAGCAATACAGGCCAGTGCCATAGTTTCTATCTGAAGGGTGGTGAGAAGCAGGAGAGTCCAAACCACTGCCTGAAGCTGCTCGACTGAACGCAAATAGCAATATTTAGAGGTATTTGTAGCTGAAAATCTGTGATTTCCCAAACATGCCCATAAATGCTTGGATTAGTTACTGTAATACTCTGTTTGCTTATGGATGAAGCAAGGAAAGGTGACCTTTGTAAATAAATCACTCAGTTCGTTGTTCCCTGAGTCCTAGTGTATATATTAGTGTTTCGTGTATTGGTGAGGACACAGGTATTTTTCCATCACTTGAAACTTAGAACCCATTCATATGCATCACCCAGAGAGCTGATGACAAATAATTTTGTTGAGATTATCTTTTTTTCTGTTCACATTGACCTTGATTATGTTTCCATTACAGCTGATATAAGCATAGCTTTAATTTGTACTTCAAATTAAATGGCTTGTGCTCTGAGTACAGGTTGTGATCCTCCATGTGGAGGCAGTCCTTGTCCTAATAAGGGTCAAATGTGGATTTTCCCAAAAGTTGTGACACAGTGGGAGTGCAAGGATGCCCCCCCTCGCCTCCTCCCAGTTGTGATGCCCTTTCTTGTAGGATCCCTTATGACTCCAATATGCTCTGATCCTGCAGGTGTTTTGCATGGGGGCACAGCTGAGGTGGTTTGTGTGGCTTTCCAGGGATGTTTGCAGGAACAAGCCCTAGTCTGAAGCCAACCATTAGTTTTAAAGCCAAGATTTTGTAAATGTCCTGAACACATGGATTGGTTTCTTTTCCATTTCTGTCCCCTGAGTGAGGATGAGAGATGCTGAGAGCACACAGAGTGAAGGGAAAGCATCTTGGAGTCAGCAGTTCCCTTTGCAGCTCCTCTCTTGGCTGATATGTCAGGGGCTGAAGTGCTGGGGCTCGCTCTGGGTCCTGCTGAGACCAAAAGAAAGGAGCATTTCCTTTGCCATGTAAAGGAAGTGGGATCAGGCCCGCCAGGGAGTTTCACTGTTGCTGCAGTGCCAAGTGCCTGTGTAGGGGGGCAGAGGTGAAAGGGCAGGTTGTAGCGAACAGCAAGAATAGCAACTTGCTTGGTTCATATTGGGGCTGTAATTTTGATCCGTGCCCAGCCTCTTCCACCTCCTTTTTGCTATGCAAGAAAATTAGAGGTCTCCCATTGACCAGCACAGAGATGCTGCAGGCTTTGAAGGGCATGGTCACTAACCAGTGACTTGTCCTGAAGCACAGTGATGCCACTGGGGTAAAGGTCTGATTTTTAGTCTTCATCCCTGTTAAATGGAGGTGGAGATGCTCTGGTTTCTGGGGATTGCAATGCCTGGCTTTAGAAAACAGTAGGAGCCGGGCATAGGTTTGTCAGACACACTGGACCCAGTTACTTTGAGTCAGCTTGACCTTTATTTTAGAGCAAGGCAAGAAGAACAAAAGCATAATTCTTGAGGAAGGAGCGGAGCACGTGCGCTTCTCGTGTAAGAATCTGCACAAAGTGTGAGACGAAAGCAGCTGCTGGATGTGGCTGGCAGCGCAGAACCTGATTTAAAGTTTAAAGGTCCAGTGGAAAGCAAACATCAGTGTTGGGAAACGGTGCCCGAGGGACCACGTGAAGAGATTTGAGAGGAGGGGTGAGCTTTAGTGGCGAAACTAGTGGGGGGAAAAAGATTTGGTGCAGACATCCATTGTGGGAGGGCAGGGTAGTTGTGAAATGTGAGTTACTCTGCTGTTGGCTGCACTGTTGGCTCCGCTTCGCTGGGGTGCTTGTCACCATCATCATCTTCCAGGGGACATATGGCCTGTGGAGACGGGGAAGGGTGAAATGTCAGTCTTGTGTAAAATGCTGTTTTGGGATTGCAGGGTTTACGCCCTGTAAAGCTTGCACTTATTCTTGGGTGGTTTAACATCCTTCTTTTTCATTCTCACACACTGAAAGGGCTGGAGAAGTCGTCTCCAGCAGGCTGTGTGGGGAGAAGCTAGGGAGGCAGAAGTGTATGTACCAGGAGAGGGGAGATTGCAAGAGGGAACTGCTGCAGTTTTGCCTGGAGGGGTTTGCAGTTTCCTACCATTAAGCCGACATGGGCTGGCAGCACCTATGACAGACATGTGGGAGAAAGGGCTGCCTCAGCAGTTATGGGCGTGGGCTGGATCATGTCTGGCCATGGGCGCTGCAGAGTCTGACTCCATGTCTTGGTGGCTCTCAGGCTTTGCTCTGCAGAAGTTCACTCTAGTGACAATTGATTGTCATGGAATCGTGGCAGGAATGTATTGGTGAACCTGGAGGTTGAAGGCCCCTAAGAACAGAAACCAAAGGGTTTGGACTTGAAGGGAAAAGGCTCCCATTGCCCACTAGGGCAGTGTTCAGTGAGCTTCTCCCCACTAGAGAAGGGCAGCAGTGTGTGGACAGCAAGTTTTGGACCCCAAGTCTTCAGTGTTGCATGGGGAAAGAGCCTGCAGAGCTCTAGGTGCTCTCACTTCTGCCCCCCTCTTCTGTCCCAGAACCATTTCTGGAGGAGCAGAGGGGAGGGAAGAGTGGGGTTGAAGGTTAGGGTGCTGGTGCTTGGAGAAGAGGCACACAGGCTAGAGTAAGGGACTGGGCCAGAGTCAGACAGATAGAGCCTGGAACCAGTCCTTGGTGTCTCACCTACAGAACAGGAATAATCAAAGCTTTTGGCCTCGTGGGGTATTGTAATGAATCCCTGTTATTTTTCTAAGATGTGTGGATACTGTGATGATCAAGTCTATGCAAGGACCTAGACAGATGAGGAATGGGGCTCCCAGATTTGAGATGGGGTATACTCACCTGAGAGTGATATCCCTTTTTCAACCTGTTGAACATGGTACATTATCAGTGTCGTCGAAGCTGGCAAGGCAGAGCAGCATGGTGTGCCAGGCAGGCAGGCTCCGATGGTGCTGTGCTGGAGCCAGGCAGACGGACTGGAGTGGTGCCAGCCCAGCCCACCCCTTGCCTCCAGCCACTGCTTGGGAGGCTCTGGGCTGGGCACATGGAGGCTGGGAGTCACCTGCTCCAATGCATTCATCTTGCTCCCACACAGCAGCAGCGGTGCCTGCCTGCATGGCACTACATGCCGCTCTGCCTTCCTGCAGGACTGCACCTCGTGTCCCTTTCTGCCTGCCTCTGCCTGAAGCATTGCCACTGACCTGGGGGGCTGTAGGGTGCACCAAAATACAAGTTTGCCCAGGGTGCCATTTCCCTAAGGCTGGTCTGCTGTCACACCCTCCTGCACAGTAGAGAAAGAAAGGATCGTGTTAGATGGCTGATTCTGGGACTCTTGTTTAATTTTTACCAACTGACTGAGATGCTGGGATGGCCTATGAAATGCAGGACTGTCCTGGCCAATGCTGGAACTATAGTCACCCTATTTCTAGGTACTTGTAGCTCAAAATCCGTGGCTTCCTGAATGTGTATATATACACTTGGATTAGTTCCTGTAATACTCTGTTTGCTAAGGATGAAGCAAGGAGAGATGACTTTTGCAGATAAAAGGTTAAGTTCATTGCATACAAGGTCCATGTTTATTGATCTGTGGTGTTAATGTGAAATAAGGGATTTCTCCCTTGGCCAGAATTCATAGGGTCATTAAACTTCTCTGATCTCTTGCTGATGAACTAACCAAATCATTTTGTCTCCTATTTCTAAAGAAGAATAGCATTTTAGCTCTTTTATTACCATATTTACTCAATTATAGGATGACCCTGAATAGAAGATGACCCCGAATAGTTAGATTCTATATATGGAAAATGTATACATTTGTTATAATTTTCCAGGTATAGAATCCAAGTATTAGACGGTGTCTTGAATCTCTCCCCCTACTGCTACAGGAGGGAAAACAGTGGGTGGTGGGGGGTCAGGTAGCCCCTTTTCCCTGCTCACTTCTTCCCCCTGCAGCCTTCCTGCCACCTGCTCACCCCACCCCCCGTTCCCCTTTTACTGTCAGATGCTGCTCAGGTTTCTCTGTCCTGGAGCACAACACAAGGGAGCTCAGCCCTTGCCTGGCCATGCAACAGTGCTGGCGCTGCTGATCCTCTGGGCAGGCAATGCAACAGTGTCACTGCATTGTAGAAACTGCAGAGGGGAAGTGGGGTGGGGCGAGGGAGGCAGGAAGGTGCTGTGGGTCTGACTCTGGCCCCGACTTGGGTTCAGGGCCAGAGTGAGAGCCACAGCACCTGCCTGCTCCTCCCTCTGCTTCATATGGGAATATAAGACCAGGGGCTTTTGTCTCGCATGCTGATTGGGGGGAGAAAACTTCATTTTATTTTTAAGTACATCTTTATTTCTTGCATTAGCACAAGTGCATTAGTATTAGTAATGCTTTCTTGCAGTTGTACTACTTGTTCCGCCATATTAAGGGGTGGGATGAGTGGAAATGAAACAATCGGACAGACTATTCCGGTCTGAAATCCTAATTTATTGAACACATAAGCAATACCAGTATTTAAGCAAAGCTTTAAATGCAGTGCCTAACCCTTGAGCAAGTCCTAACAGTTAATACAGATATTCTTATGCAAGCCTTCCAAAGAATACTGTAAGTTCAGCTGGCTGGGCGTCCTTTAGTGTTCTGGGATTTGCCTAAATTGTCGTCCGGGATTTGCTCGAGTCATCGTTGTCTTGGCTTCAAGTCGCTCCCAATTTGTAAGGCCTTTGTTTGCATTTTATACTGTTTCTTAGTGGGGTGGGTAGTTTTTGTGGTTACTTTACACACACGTTCTGCACAGTTTCCTGGCTTAGAGGAACAGCCTTTGTTGTTTGTTGCTCGTTGTGTTGTACCAACATCCTGTCATTTTTTTTGTTCAGGCGCTGTCCACGTTCTGCCGTCTTGAACGGTTAAACCACATTTTACAACTTTTGTGCTGGCATGAGTTACCCAAAATGTGACTCACTCACTCTTCTTTTTCAGTGGCGTTTAGGTTGTTACGTCAAGGCACAAAATAGCATTGTTTATTCTAAGTATTTTGCTAAGGCGGCTCTCAGGCTACATGCTAACACATTCTTGTAGTTGTACTGCTAGTGCATTCACACCACTAATGCATTTGTGCAGGTGTACTGCTTGTGCATTAGTGCTACTAATGCGTTCTTGCATTAGTACCCATAGTATCTGAGCCCCTGGAGGTGGCAAAGAACAAATCACATCAGTGTGTTAGTTTTGCTTTGTTCTTTGCAACCTTACTGGTTTCCTTGTCCTCCATCTATTGCTTGGAAATTCATTCTGGGCTAACAGCTCTTGCTTGCATTGCTCTAACGGTCTTCATACCCAGCCTTCCTCTGCTGGCACTATTTCTCTGAATGCTGCAGTCCAGTTTTCTTTATTTAACTATTTATCAGTCATCCTTGGAAGACAGAGACCAACTTGTTAAACACCAGTGGTAGACATAAGGAAAAGGAACTGCCAGTGCAATGTGAATTAAATCCTTTTCCCTGTTGTGACTTCTCTAGACAAAGATGGAATTGTTTTTAGTCCTTGTGTTTTGTAGCCTTATGCTTAGTGGGTACAATATGGTGTTAAGATGGTAGCCCTTAGCTCTATGTGTAGCTAATAGTGTTGATTTTTGTTATTCCCAAAACGTAGACATCTCTTCCTTGAACACAACTGTCATTCATACACAGAAAGCCTGACTTCCATCAGAAATATTCAGCCCCTTAGTGACTGCTTCTTTTGACACACTGTCAACATTTATCTGGAGCAGTTTCCCATCTATTCCACTGTGTAATTACAACAAAAATTCCTCGGCTGTCTGTGGTTACATTTTCCCTTCAAACTTAGCCTGGAATAAAGCGGCGGGGGGATGTCTCGTAAAAAAACACGCATGTGAGAGGGCTGTCCTGTTTCAATCTGACCCAGGAAGCAGGATATTTGCTTTTGGAATTGTGCAGAGTTGTAGCTTTTAAATGCAGCTCTGTCCCAGAAAAAGAGCTGTTGCAATAGCAGAAAATCCAAATTGGTTTATATGTTCATTGAACTGTAGTTGGAAATTTGTGTAACTATTTCCAGGAAATCGGTAAGCGCTCTTGCTCCAGCTCAGTGCATTTTCCTAAACTTGACTGCAGTGGCAAAACTAGCAATTCGGTGTGTACCTGAGCTAAAAGACTACCCTCGTGTGGGGGCCTTGTCTTGTAGATAGCAAAAAACCCCATTCCTGTTTCAGAACGAAGTTAGAACTGCTCTATCCTGTACATAGAGGTGAACTGAAAAGATAAGTGCTGCTTTCCTTTCTTTTCAGCAGCCTGCAAGGAAAGGTGGGTAAGAATCAGCGGAGGGGACAGACTATCCAGCCCACACTTGCCTAACTCCTCTTAACTGGGGCAAATAACTGAGAGGTAAGAATAGTATCATCTTGATAAAACACCTACAGAACTAAAGAAGGGTGGGCAAATCGTTCTTAATAGCTGGGCTGTTGAATCTTTCACGAGGAGGATTTTTAGGGTCAATCTGTTCCTTGCTAACAGACATGGGTCTGGTCTTGTAATAAGGAGGACTAACTCCTGCACCTGTAAGGAGCCTCGCTGTAGTCCGTGCATCTCCATGCAGATGCTGGTTGCAGGATCAAGGAGGGGTGGGAATCTGTGTTGCATCTTTGCACCCGAGTATATTTCTGCTCCTCTTGCCCATCTGAATTTTTCTCAGAAGCAAAAAACCATGAAAGTCCCATTTCATTGCCTCAGTTTTAATTATTTATTTAAAGTCCAAAAAAAAGAAGAAAGTTTAATGAGCACAAGTAGGAATTCCAACCTCCTGAAAGGTACAAAACCATTGACAAGAGGGGGAGTGGGACAGAGTGGGGAGTGTGTACAGAGGAAGAGAAGCAAGCGAGACATGAGATTATGGTAACTTTAACGCAAAGGTACTTAGCATTCGGAGAATGATTTGGGGTGGGAGGCATTTACTGACTGAGCCCTGGGCTGGCAGCGTGAGGTATTTTGAGGGGAAGCACCAGAACTGGAGAGGATGGACAGGGGTGAGGTATTTGGAAAATATTTTGTTAATTTTTAGCTTTGATTGAAAATCAAACTGAAGACAGTAGTAAAAAGAGAGACTCACATATATTTTTTTTTTCCTCCAAAAATTCCATAGTCCATACAAGACAAGAAAACTCCAAAACAGGCACTGAAGCATTTCCAATACAGGACAGCTCAGATTACATTAATATTACTCCTTATATAGAATAAAAAGATTATTACCATAATTATCCTCTGTTTCTCCTTTTTAAATCCCAAATTTACACATAGAGACTAGATTTCTACACAATTTAACAAAACAAAACTCCTCCAAGCCTGGTTGGGTTCTGAAGCAACAAGGTACCATGATTTCAGTCTTGACAGACGGGTCCTGACAAAGCACCATAGCGCGTGTGGGGTTTTTTCTGTTTTGTTTTGGGGTTTTTTGGGGGGGTTTTTTGTTTTGCTTTTTTCCTTAAATAAGAAGAGATCAGCTGTTGGATCCCATAGCAGGGAATGACTGAATACAGAAGAGCTGGCAAGGACACTATACACGCGGTCAACACAGAAATACAGCAAAACTATTTATGTAACAACCCAAACTAGCTCTCTTCAAGGCTTCCCTATGACACAATTCTTATAGCTTCTGTGGGTGAGTTGTACCCAAAAAATAAAGCAAAGCAGTGAAATGCCATTAAAAACCCACCATTTGCTTTAAAAAAATCCCTTAAGTACATTTATTTTAGAACATTTTGCATTGTGCATTTATTGACTCCCATTTCAATTCACGTTAAAAGCCATTTAAAAAAATCCCTTAAAATAGTTAAATGCACTTACACTTAACAGTTTTTTTTTTCTGATTAGCTGAAGATCACAATCCCCCCCTCTCATTTTAGAGAGCAGTCCCCATCTGGTGGTTTTTGGGTCTGTGGCAAGACATTGTAGCACCTTCAGAACCTTAAATAGTTTAGTCATATATAAAATAACACATTATCTTTTTAAGAGCACCAGAGATTTCACAGTGAGAGGTAGAAACAAATCAAACGGGCCCATCCTCTCTCTCTATCTTAGCACCAATCACTTTCTCTCCTCCTCCTTCCATTTTCCCTGGTCAGTTTTGGGACTCTCCCTCACCGCACCACATGTGAGAAGGGACATTTATTAGACTCACCCACGGAAGGAGGAACATACTAATTTTTTTTTTTGCTTAAATAATATATAATATTTATATATATATAATTTTTGTTCTAATATTGCACATCAAAATGCTTCCTGTACACAGAGCAGCCAGCTTCAACTTGCAACTCCGCCCACAAGAGCCTCATTTGATTTCTGATTCAGCGCGCAGCTGTCGAGAAGATGACAGGCTCTGAATGGGAAGCTCTGGGTTTTCATGGAAAGAACATTTGGTAACTCAGGAACCAGGTAGGACAAAAATATGCATTGCAAACTTCTTCTCAGGGTCTCTCAACCTTTCTTTGGTCATGGAAAAAGCTTTGTGTGTGGAATTGCTTACAACATCTGGCATTTGAGTTCCTGATTCCCCTTTACTGTTCATGTCTTGGCTGATGCCAACATCCCCCACTTTTTTGTCGCTTGTTCTTCTTTCAAGAACGTGCTGGAGAAGCTGCTGAGTTCGATAGACCAAGGGTTCTTTAAGACTTTATGGGCTCTATGGCTAGAGCAACAGTTAACCGAAAAGAACAAGGCCTAGCTATCTACGGTGAAGAGGGGTGGGAGACCCTGCTTAAGACTTAGACCAAAAAAGGGGTCAGAACCTTGGAGCGCTGGAGAAGTCACCGTTCAAAGAAAGCAGACGGGTCCAACCTCGAGGTGATACTGTTTCCCTGGCTCGGATGGTGGAAGGTTATAAATGTTGACAATTGGCAGCTGGTTAGGGTTCTGGGTCCGAAACAGAAAGAGAGTCCGATGCCAGCGACCATCCTGGAGCTGATCAGAGGGGGAGAGACAATGGAAAAGGTCAGTTAGCTGGGTGACTAGATCCCTGCGGAGAAGAATGATTTCCATAAAGCTAGGTGGCTGAAAAGCACTTGCTACTGAGGTAAGTTAGTTTATCCCCAGTTTAAAATGATGGATAAAATCAGAGAGTGAAGCATGGAAAAGTTAGAGGCCACTTTTGAAAAGGTGGCACATGGATTAGGGTTGACACTATTTTTGGACACCCAGCTTTAGACATTTAGGATATCCAAATGCAAGTTGGAGTTCGTAGTGATTTTTGCTTTCCATCCTTCCTAGAACTACGAAGTTTCCCCACGATTCTTATTTTTACTAATGCCGAGGAAACAACAATAAAAATGGTTTTGGCACCATGATGAGGTTTGGGCATTTGGACCTTGGTTTTGACTTTGTGTCACTTATGGCCCTGTGAAGACCTTCTGACTGGAAACACCGCTCTATCCCCACCTCTCCCACTTTTCCTCCCAGGCATTATGTTTTTGTTGGCCATACTCCAAAGGCTTCATACCTTGCAATCATCGGCTGCCACTTCGGGTTGCAGCTGCCCCCCTGCTTCAAATATCTGTCCATTCCAAGCCTTAAAACGCAGAGCTTTTTCTGAAGGCTTCTCAGATGAACCTTCCTTCCACACCGGTGTGTTCAGGCAGTGGATGGTGATTTGCTGAACCACCTCCGAGCTCAGAAGGTGAAGGAAGTTCATCTGAACTCTACCAATGTTGAAATCCAGCTGTTAAGATAACACAGATATTAACTTATATCTCCCTCTGGACTGGCAGTATGAAACAGGGCAAAATGATGGGACGGGATATTAACCACTGTATAACAACGGCTGTTATCCAGCATCACTGGCTTTATAGAAACTGCTTTTAAATCAGGGTTTTACAAAATGGTTTTTAACTGGAGAAAAACTGCAGTATGGCACAGGCATCTTCAAACTGGACTGTTCCCTCCTTGAGGAAGTCCACAAGGCAAGAAGCAGATGTGTGTTTTTGTTGTTTTTTGAATGGACCAGGAAGATATGTAAGTCATCATCTTCTGTTGTAACACTGAGTTCAGAGCTTAAAAATGTGCAAGCCAGGAGACTGAAATGCTACAAATTAGGTAGGTGGTAGGGACATAGAAATATTTTTTCCCACAGATTTTGACTCGCTTTTGCGGGCAATGCTGTTTTTTGTGTTTTTCACAAAATCTGGGAAATTGCAATTTCGGTAGGTCCCTAGTTATAGTTGAATGAATAAAAGGCACATCATTTCTTCTTAGTAAAGAAAGGAAAAGGGTATGATTTAAAAAAAAAGCTGGCATTGGCTTTAGTGGGCAGATTTGGGTGAAAGCCAAGTGCTTCTAAAATCCCTTCCAGGCCACATAGGTTTCCTTACAACTTCTACACTGCCTCTGTTTGTGGGGGTAGAGCTATTGGGCAGCGAGAGAATTACACACTCATTTGTATATCTAGAAAAAGTGCATGGATGCTTAATTGCACTTTAGTTTCCAGAGAGGTCTGTAGCTATCTCTCTTCCTCCAGCCAGGAACAACTCTCCTGAGAGATGATATTTGCTCCCATTGCAGCATGGGTAATGCTGGCTGACTTGTGTATGGTGACTGGGCAATACTGGAATTAGACAGCCTGTCCATCCCCCTGAACCTGTGTTCTAAAGCAGAAATGACAAGGTTACAGC